GAAGGTGTCTATCTCCAGACTAGATCAGATGGAAAACTCTTTAATCTCTCTAGATTGAGAGTGAGGACCAAAGTCTAACTGAAATGCATGCAGGACTTCCTCTTCACCGAAGATGCAGCCATTGTTGCCCATTCTGCTGAAGACCTCCAACAACTCATGAATCGTTTTAGCAAGGCCTGCCAAGACTCTGGACCAACAATAAGCCGGAAGAAAACACAAGTTATGGGCCAGGGTGTGGACTCACCTCCCTCTATTACCATCTCCACACAAGAATTGGAGGTTGTTCATGACTTTGTGTACCTTGGCTCAACAATCTCTGACAATCTTTCCCTAGATGTCGAGTTGGATAAACGCATTGGCAAAGCAGCTACCATGTCCTATAGACTCACAAAGAGAGTATGGCTCAATAAGAAGCTGATGACATATACAAAGATCCATGTCTATAGAGCCTGTATCCTGAGCTATATTGCAGTGAGTCCTAGACCTTTGTGCATGACAGAAGAGGAAGCTGAACACCTTCCATATGTGCTGCTGCCGACGCATTTTTGGTATCACCTGGCAGGACAAAGTTCCGAACAGAGCAGCCCTAGAACAAGCTGGAATTTTTAGCATGTATGTATTACTGAAACAGCGACATCTACGTTGGCTTGGGCAACTAGTGATAATTTTGAGTAAAAATAAGAGCTCCATGTCTAAAGCACAAGTGTCATAGTTCTTATTGTTCAAGTTGTATTTTTTGTATTTTTTATTTTATGTCACATGACATTATTAGTAATGCAAAAAGAGAACAAGAAAGAAAAACTGCTATACGTTATCTGTTATCTAACATGAAATCTGTCTAATCCTCTATTATCTGGATCGAAAATTCTACAAAGATAAATTCTACAAAGATGGAGCTAGATGGACTTCCTTTGGGACGGAATTCCACACTTAGGGCAGTGGTATAAAGAAACCCCTTTCTTATGTATCCACCCATCTCTTGGCACAGTGGAAATGTAGCAGGAACTCTCTGAGAATGCCAAACCCTGAGCTGGTAAATATAAGAGAATGCAGTAGTTACATCCCATTTCTTCCTGTTATGTCATAATGAGTTGTGTCATAATGTGCAGTGTCATCAGTATTGTAAAATTCTATGCATTCCTGCCATTTGAAATGTTGGCTAGCAGAGGATGGACATAGGACCAAGGAAGAAACATGTCAAGCCAAGGAAGTGTAAGTTCTGGCTCTCTGCCATCAAAGAAAAGAGCCACAGTTAAGCCAGGCAACAAACCTAGAGAGGAGGGGGAATCGGCTCCCCCCAGAATAGTGAAAGAGACCAGAGCTGTTGTCATAGATATTGGTACTGGCTCCTGCAAGTGTGGTTTTGCAGGAGAACATAAGCCAACACATGTAGTCTCATCTACGGTAGGCAAGCACTTCCAAGAGACTGCAAAAACTGGAGATAACAGAAAAGAGACCTTTGTTGGCAGAGAACTTCGGGAAGCAACAATACCCCTGAAGCTTGTCAATCCTTTGAGACATGGAATAATAATTGACTGGGATACAGTTGAAGACATATGGGAATATCTTTTCCATAAGGAGATGAAGATTCGGCCAGAAGAACATGCAGTACTTGTATCTGATCCTCCTCTGAGTCCTACCACCAACAGAGAAAAATATGCAGAAATGCTCTTTGAAAAGTTCTACACCCCTGCCATGCACATTGCTTACCAATCTAGACTGTCAATGTATTCCTATGGAAAGACTTCAGGACTTGTTGTGGAGAGCGGCCATGGTGTCTCCTATGTGGTTCCCATTTATGAAGGTTATACTATGCCAAGCATTACAGAAAGGGTAGATTATGCTGGATCAGACGTCACTCAGTACCTAATGAAGTTATTAAATGAGTCTAAGAACATTCTCACAGAGAAACACTGGAGCATCTTGAACGATATCAAAGAGAATTATTGCTTTGTTTCACTGGATTATCAGCAAGATTCAGCTGCACCACCCAGGAAACATGAGACTGAATATGAGCTTCCTGATGGGCAAACAATCATCCTTGGCAAAGAGAGATTCATGTGTACAGAAATGCTCTTCAAGCCATCCATGATCGATTCACAGCAGCTGGGGCTTCCTCTCCTGACTATGACTGCTCTCAATAAGTGTGATGTCACCCTCAAAAAGAACCTGATGGGCAACATATTGTTATGTGGAGGCTGTACCATGATTGAGGGTTTTGCTGACCGCTTCCAAAGAGAACTGATAAGAATGTGTCCAAATGATAATCCCATTTCATCAGCCTCCCCTGAAAGGAAGACCTCTGTGTGGACTGGAGGGTCTATCCTTGCATCCCTTAAGGCTTTCCAGCAGCTTTGGGTTCATAGGAGAGAATATGAAGAACGGGGTCCTTTTTACATTTACAGGAAATGTTTCTGAACCCATAACATTGATGAACCTGCTTCACGCTCATTACCTTCTCAGCTGAATCACAGTTAATTGAAGAGTCACACACTTCCTTTTTCCAGCATTACATACCAGAAATGGTTAGCCTGTAAGTGCTGATGGACAGTTTACTTTCTGTTCTGTCTCTATTAAAAGCTCAGGGTTGTTAAAAAACCTACAGGAGAGTGGTCTGTACCAGATTCCATGACACTTTATCTGACCTAACACTTTGCTGTAGCACAAGATACTTTCAAACATGGTGCCCCTATGCAAGTGTAGACAGACATTAATATGGCAGTAGAGGTACAGTATGTACCCTGTAATAAGCTTTTTGGCCATTTCAAACCATATAGTGTCCACTATGAAAAGTGCACTATCTTATTTAATCCAACATTTCAACACAGGACTATCAAGTTAGACCGAGTCCCATGGGATGCTATTTGTGTAACAAAGGTAGAAGCCACCACACCAAGGGTGAGCAATGTGTGGACTTCTAGATGGTACTGGACTGCAATTTCCAGCCTCAACCAGCATAATCAACATGAAGGGATCATGGGAGTGGCAGTTCAACATTTGGAGGGGCACCAATGCCCACCCTGTCCTCCACACACCCTTGACAAAACTAGGAAGAACTATTTGAAAGGTCTGTAGTACTTCTAGTACTTAAATCCTGGCCACAAAAAACAAAACAAAACAAACACACAACACCATGAAGGTATATACTGGAGTACTTAAATCCTGGCCACAAAAAACAAACAAAACAAAACAAACACACAACACTATGAAGGTATATACTGAAACTGTAAAGAAGCACGCACAAGCCTACACAAATGCTGTAATATCATCCTTGACTGCACTGTTATTTGCAAATAACTTGATAAAAAGTAGTGACATAATATATTTCTTGGGTTGAACTTAAGCCATAAAACAAACACATATCTAGGCAATGAAGACAGAACTGAATGTTTTGATGCATTCATGTTCAGCTATTTTCTTTAAAAATCTGTTTCAGATCTTTTGCTCAGTTTCAGTGCACGCACATGCGCGCGCGCGCACGCACACACACACACACACACACGATATTTTGTTACCATATGCAAGTAGGTGAAGAGTGGTCCAAGTATTGGACAGATCAGAGATTCATAGTGTTCCGATGGGCAAGACAGGACCAAGGGCTTCACGAACACACCTGTATAGAGCTAGTTAAAGAGGTTAAGCAGTACACATCAGTTTTAGCATGTCCTCATTATAAACCATTGGGCCACTTCAGCCAGAAGGCATACTGTTTTCTTTACTGATAAAGAGAAGACCAAGGGATTTCCATTATCAGGTACAGTGGTGCCTCGCTTAGCGACGTTAATCCGTTCCAGGAAAAACGTTGCTAAGCGATTTCATCGCTAAACGGAATAAAAAAGCCCTATGGGCTTAGAAACTGACCTTATGCGAAGATCCTCCATAGCGGCGGCCATTTTCAGTGCCTCTAAAGCGAGGTAAAACAGCAGGCGGCCATTTTGGAACTGCCGATCAGCTGACCGAAAATGGGGTTTTTGCGATGATCGCTTCCTCGCAATCATCGCAAAGCGATTTTCCCCCATAGGGGCCATCGCTAAGCGGTCACTCTGGCAATGGCCAAAACCCCATCACTAAGCGATTTCATCGCTCAACGGAGCGATCGCTAAGTGAGGCACCACTGTATCTCAGAGCAGGGTCTGTTCAGGCATCTGCCCACAGCCCTTCTTCAGCCTCCTGCTTATCAATCAATTCATACACATACATTTGTTCTCCCAAGATCTTTACTTTATAGATAAAACTCTTGTACACAGAAGTGCTGGCAGACATCTAAATCTGATTCAGACCTGCACAATATGGTGAGTGCTAATACAAATTCAGAACACCAGTCATATGTGGTGGTGGTTTGCCAGGGGCTTGGCTGGTCTATTCTGCTGCTTGGAAAATTAATGTATAATGGGAAACAACACTATAAGGCTAATGGTGCACCAATGCAGGCTGGGGTATAAGTTCTCCAGGCCTGATTTAAGAGAGTGGGCTTTTTAAGCTTTTCGGATAGAAATAACAAGGAACAACTAGAATCACTATTGTGGCAGATTTCAGGCCATGATTATCTCTACTCACACCATCAGCAGTCTATAGCTTCAGTCACAATAATAAATTCTGGTGTTCTTTTTGAAGCCACAGCAGCCATAATCTCTCTGTAACTCTGAACATGCTCTTTTTCAGGATTTTTTTAAGTAGTACACAATATAAAATAGAGGTCAGCAGCTGGAGAAGTCGGGCCAATACAAATGTGCACAGTATAATACAGTCTTTTCTGTTTCTTTCATCAGTGCAATTTATAAATAAGGCTTTCTGTGTCATGGACACTGTGAAGAGCCAAAGCAATTACAAAAGGAGAACCTATCGAACAGCCATGGACAAAGGATACGAAGCATAGGGCGGAGTCTGTAATCAGGGATATTGTCAAGGTTCAAAAAGGCAGAGTTGAGTAGCTCTGTCGCTAGACCCTCAACAGTGTAAAAATCTTGCTGCATTGATGAGCCAGCACTCCCCAGAATATGGAAGCTGAAATTCAAAATACACGATCCAAATTGACAAAATCTGAAAACAAATACAAAGGCTGGAAGACACTCTACTTTGAAAAAAGGTCTGCATTTATTTTTTTTCATTTATGCAAAGGAAAAGTGCCATGTTGGATCAGATTATGTAGCCCAAGATTTTAACTCCAACAGCAGTTTAATGCCCCTAGAAAGTTCACAAGCAGACATGAAGCATGACAGCCATGTCCCTCCTTGTCCCCACTGTCAGGTAATCACATATTCACCACTACTGTACATGGATAATCTGCTTATTCTCACAGCTAACCATTATCCAGTAATCTGTTGAATCTTTTCTTGAAATAAATGTACATTACTATAACATGTAGAGCAATCTGTTGGTTACATTAATTGTACATCAGAAGAATCCAGTTGGATTATTATTATTATTAATGATGATGATGATGATGACGACGTCCTGTCAAGTCAATTTTGACTTATAGCAACCCTTTCCAGGAGTTTCCAGAGCATATTCAGAAGTGATTTATCATACCATATCATAAAATATACCGGTAGCCATTATGACAACGAGCTAATGACATCATATTTGAATGCATCTAATTCCTGTTTAAACCCATTCCATGTTGGTGGCCATCACCACATTTTGTAAAAGCAAATTACACTGTCTGAACTATGCATCCATTGGGGAAAAAATCCGTTTGTCAACTTAAATTCTGCCAGAAAGTTGGGTTTCCCATTTTGAATTCTCAACTTCAAACAGGTATTTTCATTTATTTACAGTTCAGAAATACAAACTGTAGCAGCACTGTTCAATACTAGATACACATTCATAGATACAAGCTCTGTTGGTTGCAACTTGACTAGACTGAAGAGCACTGGAAGGCTACAATGGCCAGTTGAATTAACTGACACAGCAATATTTCATGAGACAGGAACACTAGTGAAAAATATTGCACTAAAAGGTATGAAAGCTCAGTGTAAGTTAGTTCACCTCTGATTTTTCAGAAGGCTTTAAAAAAATTATCTCCAGAATGTTAGCATAGCAGAGTGTACAGTACAATGAAAAATATGGCAAAGCACTAAAGTTCTTACCAATTGTCATACAGTGTGCAGAAGAAGCCCTGCATCCTTTCCAACACTGTTTTGTAAACTGGAGAGTCATAAAGTTCCAGGAGAGGCTGAGGAAGGCCTAACAAGAGGGAAACAATAAAGCAAACTCTAAATTTGGGGGCATGTATTAATTTATTTTTATTTATTTAAAATATTTTTACTCCATAGTTTTCCTTAAAAAGGACCCAAGGTAGCTTACATTATTCAAGACAATATTAAAGACAGGTGGTGCAGCATGGCCTCTCCCAATTTGAAGAGACCCTTGTCCAGCAGGCCGAGGCAAAGAGGCAGTCCTGAAACCAGCAAAATCAGGGAGCTGGACAGGGGACAGGTTGTGTTTGTCTTCAGTGTGGAAGGGATTGTCACTCTCGAATTGGCCTCCTCAGCCACACTAGACGCTGTTCCAAGACCTCTATTTGGAGCACGTTACCATAGTCTCTTGAGACTGAAGGATGCCTAATCTAAAAAACTGAAAGCTAAGGTCAGTATACAAATATTTAAAAGGATCCAATATCACATGGTATCAAAAGCAACACCAAAAATACATTCAGAGCAATAAGGCTCAACAGTCTATTTAAAGACTCCACTCAGGCAGGCAGTCACTAAGGGAAAGCTTGCCTGAACAGAAAGGTCTTTGCTTGCAGAAGGACAGCAGACATAGAGCCAGTCTGGCCTCCTGTGGGAAGGAGTTCCAAAGTCTGGGAGCAGCGACACAGAAGGCCGTCTCCCATGTCCCCACCACAATCTAGAGATTATACATGCTTGGCCCTTCCTCAACCTGATACACTCCAGACATTTGGACTGTAATTTTCAGTAATCCTTGATTATTGGCCATGGTGGCTGAAGCTTCTGGGAACTGAAGTCTAAAATATATGGAGGATACGAAGTTGGGGAAGGCTGGATCAGAGCACAGATTCTGCCAGAAATACAGATGCTGGAAGGCTGGGGAGATGGGAAAATGTAATGCTTAGAGAAGAGCTGGGAAATCTGTAGTTCCTTACAGTGCCCAAAAACATGGCCAAGAGAGAGGTATAATGATAGTACAGCAGTGGTTAATCAACATACAAAGGGTCACAAATTGCCCAGCGCTGATTGAGTGATTCTAGATATCAACATCACTTTACTCTGATTCAGTACCAGATCACTGCAGTTTAGATCCACATCCTAATATCATTTTCTAAGTTTCTAGCTATTAACCTGCCACTAAGACCAACATGGACCTTCTTACTGATCCCATCCACCTAACATTACTCCTCTCCAAGAACTTGCAACTGATTTACATTTTACTATTTATTTTATTTTATCTTAAGTAGGTTATTTGAAAATTAAATTTAAGGTGGTTTTATAATTTATTGAAATTGAACTCTATTGTTTTACATTATATGCTGCATTAGGAAGGATCCTGTCTTGACAAGAAGCTAAGAGTGATCTCTGTGTGTATGTGTGCATATACAGTATCTATAGATGTAAGTACTCACAAAGCCCCCAGGAGCAGCAATGCACATTTTAAATAGATAACAGGACCCTCTGAAGTATTTAACATGAAAAATATCCATTTTTCAAAACCAGAAGTGGAGTTCTAGCCATTTACAGTTCTGTTTCATTTTTCTGCTGCTTGGATTGCTCACACAGGGGGCAGAAAACTGATACTCAGATTTGACAAAGCTGCCTGTTCTAAGCAGAGCCACACTGACCTGTGTTAATGAAAATGGTTTCTGCATTCTGGGGAGGTTGTAGCAGTTGCAAAGGTTAAAGCTAACCTCTGATGTACTTAGATTAGATTAGGCATCCTTCAGTCTGGAGGGACTATGGCAATGTGCTCTGAATAGAGATCTTGGAACGTCTCGTGTGGCTGAGGTCAATTCGAGAATGACAATCCCTTCCACACTGAGGACAAACACAATCTGTCACCTGTCCAGCTCCTTGATTTTGCTGGTTTCGGGACTGCCTCTTTGCCTCAACCTGCTGAACAAGTGTTTCTTCAAATTGGGAGAGGCCATAATGCACCTCCTGCCTCCAGGCTGAATGCTCAGACGTCAAGGTTTCCCATCTGTTGAGGTCCATTCCTAAGGCCTTCAGGTCCTGCTTGCAGACATCCTTGGATCGCAGCTGTGGTCTTCCTTAGGGTGATTTCCCTGCACTAATTCTCCATATAAGAGATCTTTTGGAATCCGACCATCAGCCATTCTCATGACATCTGGTGTACTACTATTAATTAAAACAGCTTCTTCATAAATGAAGAAGAATGGAGGAAGACATGGAAAATGAGGCTTTTAAGATTTATGTCGGTAAGAATAAGGGAAAAAATTTTAAACTCAGTTTAAGATGGTATTTAACACCGTTAAAATTAAACAAGATTAATGCCAATCATCTGAATGTCTGTTGGAAATGCGAGAAAGAAGTTGGTACATACTTTCATATGTGGTGGGAATGTGAAAAAGTGCAAAGATTTTGGAAACAAATTTTCAAATAATTAAGCTGTATGTGTGGAAAAGATATAGAATGTAATGCTGAGATTGCTTTGTTATCAATATATGAGAATGTGGAATATGACAAAATGACTAAAGAATTAATAACTAATTTATTAACAGCAGCTAGATTGATTATTGCTAGGCAATGGAAATTAAAAACTGAATTGCAAATTGAAGAATGGTACAAAGAAATATGGAATATAGCAATAAATGATAAATTAACTTGTAATTTAAAGATTAAGAAAGGAGAGTTGAAAAAGAATAATTTTTATGAAATATGGGGCAAATTTTTGGAATATGGGGGAAAGGGAAAGCTCCAAATCAAGAATCTATGCAGTTTTGAAGAAGAAGAAGAAGAAGAAGAAGAAGAAGAAGAAGAAGAAGAAGAAGAAGAAGAAGAAGAAGAAGAAGAAGAAGAAGAAGAAGAAGAAGAAGAAGAAGAAGAAGAAGGCGGCGGCAAGAGGTCCCATACATGGGGAACACAGTCATTGTATTTGAGTTTATGTTACATGCATATGTTTTTGTTTATGTTACACAGTCATTGTATTTGAGTTTATATGTTACATGCATATGTTTGTGTTTATGTTATATAGAAAACAAAAAAATACTTTAAAAAAACCAGCCACTTACCTAGGATGGCATTCTTCTCTACTTCCAGCATGTCTAAGGCTTTGGCAAAGTTTTCCCCCATTCTTGTCACCAGTTCTGGTAAATATAGGTTGTTGTGGGTTCTGGAAGAGAACATGGTATTTCACAGTTACCATTTGCACCCAGAAGCCACCTAGCAATGGGAAACCATCTTCAGAGTGTGAACAGTTCCTGTGTCTGATGAGGAGGAAGGTGAGACCAAGCACTTGTGCATGGGATCCCCCTTCCTTACCAAGAAAAGCATGATTTTCTAGGGATATGGAGAGGGCTCCACTCTGTAGAGAGGGCACTAGCTGTTCCACACAACAGCTGCCCAGTTGACCTCCTTTCAGCCCTCTGAAACGCTGGCTGCAATAGCTTGAGACACACACTGCCCACCAGAGGATAGGTCACAGTCCCTACAATGGCAGGTGGCACTGGATGAATGCAGCAGCTTATTTGTACACTCACATGCTCTAAGCAGCTGTGTGGCACAGAGAGGCCCCCCCTGAACAGGAGAACAGCTCCGCGTAGACCACATCGTGCCGCCAGGGAGGGACGTCCATTCAGCCAAGAGTGACTTCTTTCTTGCCATCCAGGCTAAACAGAGCCCCTTGCCTGCTAAATGGATTTTCTGAATGGTGGGGAAAGGTCTCTGTCTCACCTACCTCTCTCTCCTTTGAGACCTCAGGCCTCCACCCAGGGCTTCGGCAACGCACACAGCACAAATTCTGCAGCCAAACGGCCCAAGAACCTTCGCCAAAACTGCCACTGTACCTGCTGCTAGAGGGGATCAAGAGCAACTCAGTGTCTCCCCCTAGAGCCGAGTCTCCCCAAAGTATGAGGGTGCAGGGCTACAAAAGGATTAGGACGGTGGATGCCAGAGGGGCAGGCCTCTCAATTGCTCTCCAGGGTCTCAGCTGTCATTTTTAGAAGTCTCTAAAAGAAGTCTCTCACTCTACTTGTGAAGAAGGTGACCAAAGTGCAACCAATGCAGCGATGTCTGCCTGAGTTTGCAGATAGCCTGGAACAAGAGGTCTGAGGTGTGAATTGCCCATTCATTTCAAAGGGTGCTAATAGAGGCTGCAAGAAAGGAGAAGCATTGTATTATGAAGACAGAGAGTAACTGATTGCTCTGGCTAAGCCTTTTAAGCACCACATTCAGGGGCTTTAGGGTTCAATCATTTATTACCCTGAAGAGAACTTTAACATTACATCCCTGTATGCCAATGCTTTACACAATAACTCAAATGCTTTACATAATGGCAAACAACTAAATTGCCAAGATTTTTTTTAAATTTTAAAACAGCTTCTCCTTGTACTTTTGTCACCATTTTGAAAGTGTACTTTGGGAGAGTTTGGTCAGAACTGCTAGATTAGATCTCATGTAGGACAGGACTTTGTGTCTCTCAAAGTCACATTTTGTTGCATGATTTAGCAAACTAGACTTTCAAAGTACAGTAATCCACAACATTGTCACCTACATAGTTGTAAATAATAGCCTGAATCAAATTGCTAACCTCAACTCAAGTATACCCACTGAAGGAAGCAACCAATTTGAAAGATTTATGCTAGTTTGGGGCTAACAAGCGGATTTACTGCCAAATCCCAGTTTTCATTCTCTTGTCAAGTAAATTTTTCCAATAAAAAAAAGGAAGATGAAATATCTGAAAGAAAATCTACTTATTTTGCTATGGAGATACTTAATTGTCCCAGTTAATGGGGAAAATATTCAATGCCATTATTTAGGCAAACTATGATGTACTAAAGCATAAGCAATCACTGTGATTGCCAGTCATCATTTTGGAGAAACCTAAATTTCTTCCACGGAGTTTAGTGTAATTTAACAGTATCAGGAAATCCCTTCCAGTACAAGATGTGTATGTTTTCTTTTATCCCATTTTCTTTGTCTTTTATTCTACCTTGTAGCTCTGGTTGTCTAGATACTGCACAAAGGATCCTATGGTTCAGGAGAGTAATAATTATAATGACCTTTTCATTTGTATATTTACATTTTTATAGCACACAATACACAGGAATTCTCACTGGGATTAGGGAATACCCTGCAACCCTCACAGTACAAGCTTTTTAAAAATTCTAGTGCCTGAAGATCAAGACAGGAAAGCATTTCTCACATGGAGTAACTTCACTGATGTTCAAATGGGCAACATTGGGTGCACGATTAATGGCAGCTGCCATACATAGTTTTGCTTCAAGTTGAGAGCACTGGTATAAAGCAAAACAATCTTAACATTTTGCAGGCACTCAAATGGAAACATATGGAAATTAAGACTTTATTCCCTCTGCAGGGCCTTGTTCCACATGTTTTCAGCAATTTTCCAATGTTGCTCATTAACATCTTCTAAGTTACTCTTCCCATCATTTACTTATTCTTTCCAACTGTCCATTGCCCTGACTGCATATCTGGATAGTGGCTACAAGGAGGGGAGCAAGGTAAGGAAGGTAGGCAGCTTCTGTAGCCTACTTAATGAGTACACCTTTCAGCGGAATCGCAGAACAGTCCTGTATCGCCATACAGGGTAAATAGTTGTAATGCAAGATAGAAAAATAACTACGTAGGACCCAAGAGGAGACAGAGGTTGAGCCCAGAGGGTCTCGTGAACTTTGCATAAAAGGAACCATCACAATAGAATCTTTTAAGAAAACAGAACAAGAAAATGCTTAGCTGTGCTTAGAGAACTTAATAAAGGATAAGCGTAGGTATCATGTGTAGAACACACAACAGGACATAACAGATATATCCAACAAGATGCAAATAATCACCCAACAGGATTGTGAGACACAGAGTGCATCCACACCACATAATTATAGTGTGATACCACTCTAATTGCCCAGGCTCCCCTCTATCAAATCTTTGGATTTGTAGTTTGTTGAAATACTTAGGCTTTGATGGTCAGAGCATAGGAATTTTACCAAACTATCCCATGATTCCATAGGATGGACCCAGGGCAGTTAGGGGCGTCCAACTACTGTAACTCTGATGCAAATTGTATTGTATAGCAATGGATTTCTGAGATGAAAAATCATCTACCGATTTATACTATTTATATGATGACTGAATGCAATTAATTGGCCATTTTTCCACAGGAATATAAAAAAAAATACTTTACACACATAACTTACCTTTGTGCAGACTGTTAGCTGTATCCACAGCTTCACCTGCCACACAGAACTCAAGACACCATGCAAGAAGCCCAAAGAAGAACAGGTTCAACCATTTACTTAGCATTCTCATCATCCTTCCAGCTGCAATAATTCATGGTGGCAATGCACTGTGTCCAAATACTACCTATTTGCATCTACCCAGGGAAAAGCAGTCACAATCCATTTTTTAAAAATTTTATAGACTGGAATTGTGCAAGTAAAAGGAAAGCCCATCCATGATTCTGGCAAATAGGACTTAGTAGCTTCTCTGTAAGATATACACTCAAGTCTGGGCTGCACATGCAAAATAAAGAATGGCTGGAGTGAGAATGCACAACTCAGTTTGCAGGATGGGATAAAAAAATTGTGGGTGCTTTTCCATGTAAAAACAACTGCCAGCGTCTAACAACAGAAAATTTCCCTTCACCCATTCCCTCTTGCTAGTTTTGTACTTGCAGGAAGTTTTTTCCACATAGGACAGTATGCAGAAATATGTGATCTACCCCCTGAAGCATCATGTCATATGGCCCTTTGTACTGCCTCGGGACTCTCACACCTTATTTATGTAGACAAAGCTACAAAATCCTACAAAATGATATATGTTAACACATGTACAAATGCCTATAAACTGAGATACCTGCTCACCCCTGCTTCTGCAGATTAAGACTCTTGCAAATACTTGGTTTTCTTATTTTATTTTAAAAAATGGTGTCAATCCCCTTGTACTAAATAAAAAATTACTCACTCACAAACAAAAGTGAAAGCTCTTGGACTTTTATCACAGTGCTATGTCAAAGGCTTTATAGGTGCTGTAGCTGACAGCAAAAGCTGTCATAATAACCATTAAATAGAAAGTTGCATCAAGGGGTGTGTCAACATCAGATGATCTAAGTGTTTTGTAACAAAAATGCTTTACAAAGAAGTCATCCGAAATTTGTAAGCTTTAGCAGTTGAAAGTCAACATCAATTTATGTAATTTATATACCACCCTTCAATATAAATATTCCAGAATATTCTAAAAATGGAACTAAATAGAATAAAAATTCAAAATATAAATTTACCCTGATCTAACATAGTATCCTTACTGGATGAAATTTTTAAATTCATCAGCAAAGACTTTGCATTTAATATTTGCAAATGTTTCAGCAAAGACACTGCCTTAATGATGTGACTTCACAGCTTCTACAGCACCTTCTGCCCAGTTCCTTTATTTTCTTAACATTGTGCTCACCAACTCTGCTCTTGATTGTGTTGGCCTTCTGCCATCTATGTGTTCCTCCTCAATTTCCATTTGCTAGGCATTTTGGTCTACATTCACGACAACAGAACATCTTGCCCTTTGGGACATTTTATCTTCTCTTACTCCCCCACCCCAAAGGACCCAAGATCAGTGGTTTCAAACAGTACAAAAAACTTAATGGTGCCATCCTGTGCATGAGTTAAATGGGACTTACTTCCAGGCACGTACAGTAAGTATGCAGAGTATTGCAGCCTCAAACTGAATGAAACAAATGTTTTGCCATTTGTCTAGAACTCATCAGTGAAAGTGAATTCACTTCATCCCTCATTTTAACATTGCTTTTTCAACACACTGTGCAAGAGATGAGTTCAATAGTATCTCCCAGGGAATTTATTTATAACTTTACATCTGAGCTTCCCTTACCTATCTGAAAGAACTTTAACCCACCTGCAATTTTAGTCTGAAGATTGTACTTATTGCCACAATACTCTATTGATCTTAGAACTTGCTTTCTAATCAGAAATGTCCCACTGAACCCAAGTATCACAAGTCATTCAAGAGAAACCATGCGAGCAATGTGCTTGCCACAAACATCCAGCCTTTGCAAGAATAAAAAAAGAACTGTTTTGAGAATGAGCATGTGGACATCAACCAATTTTCTGTAAATCATAAAGAATACTTATACTCTGCTAGCTGTTAATGCTGTTGGTAAACACAATACATCACAGCAGTCAGTGTGTCTCCTTAATATAGTCCTTCTGTCAGGACTGGGGTAGCCAGATCCAAAAAGAGGACAGGACTCTTCCAACTGTAACAGTAGCCTAGAACAGGGAATTTTAGCGGCCACAATTTGCCTTCTTTCATACTTCTATTAATGGTTCAGGAGGACTGTACTTTCACACCTGGGCATCCTACTTAGCTCGACTTCCCAGAAAAGTCAACATAGCATTCATCCCAAATATTACAATTTAGCTAAATTGGGTTGCCTAGATCCAGTGCCCCCACATTGTCTTCAGCAGGCATGAGGAATGCATGGTCCTCCAGATGTCATTTGATTCTAAGTCCTATAATCTCTTAACAGTGGCTATATATTTTTGCTAGAGCTGATGAAAGTTGCAGATGAATAACATCTGGGCAGATGCATGTTTCCTACCTCTGCTCTTGAGGATAATGCCATAGACTATCACATCAGTGAGCTATGTTCTTGGTTGAGTATAACACCCCCCCCCATTAAATACACAATAAACAACTGAAACAGGGAAACTGCTGGGTACAGAAAGAATGCAAGTTTGTCAATCACTGGTGCACTTATTTTCAAAGATTTTATAAATTTAGGATTTGAAAAGAAACATTAATCTCAACATGATGCATGGAGTGTAAAGAACAGAGATGGCTCGATGGGGATGAAAGTAAGTCAAAAATACTAGGAAAGGCTTGGTTTAATTTTATGTTCAGGAAAACTGGACAAGAACCCTGTCAGAATACTCTAGAGGGCAAACTAGAACTTTTTCCTTATCTATATCCTTACAAAGTTTCAATGTGAAAGTGCTTCAACTTGTGCCTGTACCAGCTCTAATAGGGAAATAAGCATGTCGGAGTACCCTTGTATGTAGGATTTTTACTATGAGACTGATTTCACAGTAAGTTGACCCACCTTATGAGAGCAAGCAAGTTGTCAAAAAGTTTCAGGACCTGCACAGAGCAGGGGTTACGGTAAATTGGGTTGCCGTTAGCCATGTACCCAACCACAAATCCTCCAGCCTTTGCCTCTTCCAAAGAAGTGGGCCAACGAGCTCGTTTTACAACTCCCAGAATGGTATAAACACAAAAGCTTATCTGGAGAGAAACAGACAGACACAGGAGGACTCTTAAATGAAAACGGTACACACAGCTGACAGAGCTACTTTCCTTGAAACGTCTCACAAATAATTCTCTAAGGCTGCTTCACACAGGACTATTTTGTTTTACAGTTATCACAACTAACTTGGAAAACACATGTTCACCTACAAACCCATGGCCATATGCGATGAATATGTATGTATATTTTAAGCATGGGCAAGATCCTGTTCATTTGTTCCACTTGTGTGATGGTCCACTGGGCAAATACTGCAACATTTACAGGAAAACCCACTGATGCCAACAAATGATCTCCTCCATCTCTGCCTGGCCAAATCTATACACCAGTGTCGCCTTATCTTTTGCTGCCAATCAATTGCATTCCTCTTGATCAGGAATATATTGGCAACATGTCTTTTGACTATGAATAGAAACAAACATACATTTTTCCATCTTGTACTGAAATCCATATGAGAACACTACATGCTTAAAGCATACATAATATACTCCTGACATGCTCTGTTTTTTCTTTAGGCACCTTCAGTTTTTTTTTTTAAAAAAAACCCAGTATTAGGAGGTTTCCTGCTATCCTCAAAAGGCAACAGTGTAAGAATCTGTCACTAACACATCAATGCAAAAGTTATATTTGATGCAGGTAAGGCTTACTCTGTGAACCATGTGAAAAAGGGTATTCAACCTTTCCAGCTGTCCAGGACAATGGAACAGAAAAAAAGGACTATGTATGCTCAACAGATTTACGTATATCACTCAAGGTTGTTTTGTGTCAAGGGGAGGAAGCAAAGAGATTCTCAAGAGCACGGAGATGGCCCAGTGCCTAACCCGAGCTCTTTTGACACAGCTGATGAAGAGGTCCTAGCTAATTCCCACTTTTATGTGTTCAAGAAAGAACAGCAGATATGTACTGTGTCATGAGGTATACTTTGCAGAAACTGGCACAAGGACTGCGCACATAGTGAAGAAGGAAAGTTATTTAGCTTGATGGCCAAATCCTCCCACCTCATCTTTCAAAAGTTCCATGTTCTATCAGCAGCTCATTACCACTTACTCTAGAACGGTTCAGACCACAGGGATCTTCTGTGGCAGAATCTCCAATTCTATTATCAGCACCAACGTAGTGGATAAATTCTTCAGGATTCATCAGGACCCTGTCGGATATGGAGAAACTGAGAGTCATAAAGGTGCTTATGTAGAAGCAGATATTTTAATTGGAAGAATTATAGTGGAATGTAGAAACTATGAACCAAAATTATTAGCTTACATCAAGAAATATTTACAAAACATGCATATTAATATGGATTTAGTAGAAGCTGGTAGGATTAAAATATACCCAGATTACAATCCTACATAAATTTACCAGGAAGTTAGCCTTACTAAACTTTGTGAAATTTACTTTGTAGCAAATACTCCAGATAGAGTATCAGTCCACTTGCCTTTCCTACAGTTTACTACCAGGCTGGTAGACACCTATAGACTTCAGGGCATCTTTCATCATTTGCTTTAACCTCAACATTTCACAGCTGCAAGGCAAAAGCATCCGTTTTTTTCTCTGGGGTCTGACAGTCACTGGAAATCAATTTTGTTATTGGGGTCAATCTTATGAAATGAGAATCCACCTCACTCCTAGCATATTCATCCCCTCGAACAAATATCACACTAATTAACCAATGTTATTCATTGACTTGAACAAATACTCACTTCTTTCTTTTAAGTGTGAAGGATCTTTAAGTGATCAGTCCTAGATACAACTCATACAAATTAAAACGGTGCACATTACACTGCAGGTCTTTATCCTTATTTTCCACAAAGATACTCCATGGGCAAAATTCTATTGTTTTCCATGACTTTGTAAAGCAAACCTGGTAAGTAATTTGACTCTGCTGTTGTTGCACCCCCTACAGTCACTGCTTGCATCAACCATCACATATTCAGTTGTGAGCTGGCAACAGAACTGACAGCAAGCCAGGGGAGAAGCTGCTTGTGTAACTGTTCTCACGCACATGGTTTTCCTAATACGAAGAATGTTGACCCATGATAAGTCTAGTATCTTGCTTAGGACTTTGCTGAACAACTAAAACGAAGCACTCCACTTACAAGGTTCCAACCAATCCAGACCCATTTACAGGTTCAAAATCAGCACACACACACACCCTGTTCTGATTGACTGCAGACAGCAGCCCTTGTGATACTGCTGGATTAGATGTTTCCCAGGGGATTTGACAAATGTGAAAGAAAGGGTAAACAAATCAGGGAAACATGAAAGAACACAATATTTTCATGTTCCCCTTTCATTTTAATGAATTATTCATATTGCTGAGGCCCTCTTTAAGAAATCAACAAAAGAACACAAAAATGAAAGTAAGAGCTTCTTTCCATTCATTTTAACATGAATCAATAGTCCAAATACCTATATCCACTGGTTTCATCTTTACCTGTGCCAATTAAGTGAGCTGACCCAAATCACTAGAGAGAAAAAACTCAGAGAGGAAGCTTTTGTACTATGAACCTGCAATGGGAAGGAGCTGAATATTGAATTGACAATTAAGAGCTAAGAGGTGGTGTCTGAATACAGAGAAGCCAAAATTGAAAGTATGCATCTCCAAGCTCTGATGGTTATGTCCAGCATCACACATTCCACACTCTTCATAACCTCAGCATGTGGAATGGGAATTATTATTTTTTTGTGGAGGAGGAAAGATTAGTTATTGATGTCCGTACCAGGTTTGAGCCTTATACAGTGGTGCCTCACATTATGACGTTAATTCGTTCCAGCCAAATTGCTGTAGAACGAAAACATCGTAATGCGAAATTAAAAAGCCCATAGAAACGCATTAAAACCCGATTAATGCGTTCCTAGGGGCTTGAAACTCACTGTCCAGTGAAGATCCTCCATAGCGTGGCCATTTTCGCTGCCTGTGCAGCGAGGACTCCGTCCCAGAAAAGAGCGGGAAGCCATGTTTTTTACCCAGCAGCCATTTTGAAACGGCCGATCAGCTGGCCGAAAATCATCGCTTTGTGAGAATTGGTTCCCGAAGCAGGGAACCGATCACCGCAAAGCGAAACTCCCCCATAGGAAACATCATTTTGCGATTGCAAAAGCGATCGCAAAACCTTCAATGTAAAGCTATTTCATCGTAAAACGGAGCGCTCATAACACGAGGCACCAATGTACTATTTTTCTTCACATCTATGAACTTAAATAAATATAAAGCAGGTCAGAACATAATGGCCTTTATTATGATTTCTGTGTAGGTAGTGCTGTACAAAACCATTAAAAAATCCAACTGCTTGTAAGACTCATCTACTCCAATGCTCTGTGTAGTTCTATAATTAATCTTCACTGCACTATATTAGGGGAAGAATGGTCAACATTTATGTACCTTTTCATCTCCTCAGATAGCCACAGGGTAGCAACAGGAGACATGAGTTCTTCCAAGAACACTTTCTGTCGCTCATAATCCTTAAACTGGTTGCTAATAAGGACCAGGGCTTCCATAAGAGCACACTTCTCCATCTGGGTCAGGAGCAGTTCATTGGATAGCAGTTGCTTCACGTGGTTATACAGCATGTCAAAGTTTGGCTGAAGAAAAAGATTCACATAAGCATCAGGAAATTTAAAACAGGCCATAAGACAAATGGCAACAGCACAAACTCTGAAAAAACCCCAACTGAGACAGCCGTGTGGTCCGCAATCCAAAAGCAGAAGAAGTCTACCTTTATTTAGAACACTAAAAATTAAACATTAAAACGTTTTTCATGAATAAAATTCACTTCCTCAGGCTTAGAGTAGAGATATTATGAATGAAAGTCCCAAGACAGCCATAGCAGAGACAATCTGACAGGCACATTTCTTAAGCTGAGTCGAGAGCTGGTTTCAACCAGTTCGGGGGGGGGAGGATGTTTTAAATGCCTCACATTTGGTGCCATTTGGTTGGAATTTTCCACTAAGCCTCCAAGATAGGAGGTAGCCCCTGAATGTATCCCCCCTCCTGCCATACTTATATTGCCTGTTTGGAAATCAAATTATTGGCAGGAAGCACAATACTGGAGTGGGTCATGGGCCAGGTTCTCTCTGAGAGAACTTAAATACATAAGGTCTCAGAAGCCTATCATTAAAGTCTTCATATTATATAGTTTGAATACCATGTAATAGACATATTATTTATCATTATAAAAGAACATATTCCATAATCAAGGTTCCCTCTAAGCTGGGCGTGTGCATACACATTACGCGCGTCTGCTTCCCTGAGCGCAACTGTCTTCCTCCTCTGCGCAGGAATCATGTTAGATTCCAGCTGCAACGGAACCGTGCACATGGGGGGGCGGAGTCACACGCATGCAGGGATGAAGTTGCACGTGAGAGAGAGACACAGAGCCCCACCCAGTGAGGCTGAAAATTAGAGGCTATGTTGTCCACACTCCACATTTCCCCCCAGTTTTTCTGGGAAAAGAAATGGCTTGGGGAAAAAACAGAAAAAAAAACCCTGCTCTCCCCCAATTTTTCTGGGTCCCCCCCTCCCCAGATCTTCCCATCTCTAGTCATGGGTTCTCAGCTCCAGGGCTTTCTGGATGAGACAAATTATCTAGAGCCATTTCAGTCTGGCTTCAGGCCTGGCTCTGGGATGAGGACTGTTTGGCCACCTTGGTGGATGACCTATGCAGGGAACTGGATAGGGGGAGTGTGTCCCTGTTGGTTCTCCTGGACCTCTCAGTAGCTTTCAATACTATCAACCATTGTATTTTTCTGGGCAGTCTCTCCAGAATGGGACTTGGAGACACTTGTTTAATGGTGGATCCAGTCCTTCCTGGAGGGTAGAACTCAGAAGGTGGTGCTGGGGGATTTCTGTTTAACATCATTGGCCTGTTTTATCTCCCATGCTATTTAATTCTACATGAAATCACTGGGAGAGGTCATCTGGAGTTTGGGGGTTCAGTGTCACTAGAATGTGGATGATGCCCAACTCTATCTCTCCACCTAGACCAAAGGAAGCTGTTTCTACATCAGTGTCAGTAATGGACTGGATGAGGGTGCAAAACTGAAATGAAATCCAGAAAAGACAGAGGAGCTCCAGGTCAGCTGAAAGGCAGATCAGGCAACAGGGATCCAGTCTCTCCTGGATGGGATTACACTCCTTTGAAAACTCAGGTTCACAGCTTCAGTGTGCTCCTAGTCTCATCCCCTACTCTGGATGTCCAGGCAGCAGCTATGGCCAGGAGCGCATTTGTACAACTAAAGCCAGTTGTGTCAGCTGTGCCCATCCTAGAAAATTTCTGCCATAGTGACTGTGAGACAGAAGGCACCCTGCTGCAGGGAGCTGAGAGTGGGCCATCCTGCACCATGGAAGAAGCAACCGAGGCACAGACGGTTACTCTGGAGAAAACCCCGGAGGGGCAAACGTTCAGAAAAGGAGGAGGATAAAAAGGGCGAGGCAACAGGCAAGAGAAGGCAGTCAGAGACAGAGAGAGAAGAGACCTGCTTTTAGGGCACAGAGGTAGAGACCAGAGAGAGAGAGATCAGGGGAAGGTTGGGTGGAGATAGTTCAAGACGACAGGGGAGTGGACAAAGTTTTGGGTGCCTTGGGAGTTTGCTAAGCAAGAGTGGAGGAGGGAGATGCACCACAAACCTCTCTATTGGGGCCAGAGTGAGGAATGAGAGAGGCGAAAGAGATCCAAGGGAAAGAGAGGCACAAAACCGGGAGAATAAGAGATGTTCTGAAGTCCATGAGACCTCTTGTGGGACAAATCCCTTCCATCCAATATTAAAACCACCACTGGGCCAGAAGATATGGGGAGCCCAGATAGGCTGGGTCTTTCATCCATCCCAGGAATGAGGTTGCACCGTGAGTCGGTTGCCAATATGGAGGTATAAAGAGTTGGAGCTTGCACCCCTGCCACAGTGAGGGCCTGCTGATGGTTGAAAACTACAGTTATGTCAATCCTCCTCTGAAGCAAGAAGCAGGATTGCATGCTGGAGCTGACTCTACTGAACTGCCAAAAATTAAAGCTGTTCCCTTGAAACTGACTGGGGTGACTATGTCATCTATGGTGATAAAGGCAAAGGGAGAGGGGGTGGGGACTAACTCAGATCCCATTGACATTTGGTTGGATTACTGTAACATGTTCTACATGTGATTGCCATTGGAAAGTGTTTGGAAACTTCAGCGAGTCCAAAATGCTGCAGCCACAATGCTAACAGGTGCTAGTTAACCCTGCTACAGCAGTTCCACTGGCTGCTGGTCCATTTCGCACAGTTCAAAGTGTTGGTTTTGACCTATAAAGCTCTAAACAACTTGGGCTCAAGCTATTTCAAACACAACTCTCTTCATGAGCCTTCCTGGCTTTTAAGATAACCACCTGCACAGGTGCATTTGGTGGGAACGTGGGGGAGGGACTTATCTCTTACTGCTCCCAGACCTGAAATCCCTCTTATAGGAGGTCAGGTTTGACCCATCTTTATTGTCCCTCTACAAGCAGGCAAAAACATTTCCCTTCAGCCAGGCTTTCAGTGACTAGCTGTCTAAGAGGGAATTCTTAAAAATGGGACTGTTGTGTTTCTGTTTTTTAAAATGTGTTTTTAGTACTACTAGTTTTTAGTATTATATTTGTTTAATTAACTAGGACTTCCTGTAGCTTTGCTCCTTCCAGCCTCTACTAGAGTAATTTCCTCCTTTTTCTTGAAAGCCTAATGGACAGGAAGGACACATGTAGGCAGCAAGACTTCCTCTGTTTTTCACTGCAGCTCCCAGAATTATGTCTGAAGGAATTTCAAGCAAATTTTAAGAATTGCCATCCAAAAGAAACTGACATTCCATGTCAAGGTTCTATTGCTATTGTAAGCTTTAACCCATATAACTGGTAGAAACCAGAGCTCCATGGGCCTTGGATCCTTCAGAATGTAATCCATTACTCTTTTGGGCAGTCTAGGGAGTTTGTACTTGGTGTGTACTCTGGAAACCTAACTACTGTTTATTCAGTAAATATATAACTAAATTTATTACTTTCTGTGTTGAATTCCCTAACTATACTTTTTAATTGGCTTTTTGTAATTTAGAGTAATTGAGGTCTCTTACAGTTTTTTCTCTGTTCCTCTAATAAAAAGATGAATTATTTTTAAATGGGCAATGTGGATAGCCATGTCTGGAGGGCTGGAAGAATCTGATACTAACTATTTAAAGTCTGTGTGGAATTCTGAGGAAAAGGGCTTTTCTGATTTCAGGCTTTAGTATCCTTAAGAATCTCTAGAGAGTCTACTCAAGCCTCAGGTTCCCTCTATCTTGAGCTGGGGGACAAAGCTACAGGCAGTGCTAGTATATCTTACACAATTAGTTTAGCCTTGGTGGAAGTTATTTGCTTTTGCCATTCTTGCTCCTGGTGCCAGTTCTGGGTATTGATTTGACCCATGTGGTGATCACTCTTGGGGAGGCAGGAACTTTGGAGTCTGCTCTGGTTCAGGCTGGGTTTGGGTCTGACTGGGCAGAGACACCCCACAAACCTTCAAGTATATAAATTCAAGTAAGTTACCAGCACAAGTTGAGGGTAATCCCGACACATTTTGATAATGGAGGAGCAGGCGTGTCGCCTCACATTCTTCACTGCACGAGTTCTTGGGGCCTGGGAGAGAGAACAGATAAAACATCAGGACACCATTTTATCATAAAAGCTTTAACAGATCCCAAACTTAGGGCCTCTGTAATAACTGGATTCAGACGTGTGTAACTTCCAAAGGTCCAGGGGCCAACTCCAACCCTGTGGGGATCTGCCTTATGCCTCCAAAACGTTTTTTCAAACGTTCTCCCCACGTTTTTTCAAAACTGAAAGTGAACAGAAATACACTTCTGTTTTTGAAAACAACAACATACTCAGAATGTCCCTTCTTTTGTTTCAAAAGAGAACTGGTGCTCTTGGAGGTTTCCAGGAGTGTCTATTCTCCCTCAGAATGTCTCAGCATGCTGTCTACCCTCATAAACACTGAAGGCCCCCTGCCCCCATTACTGTCACAGCCGGAAAGCTCAAAAGCCCACTTAAAAATGGTAATCCTTCAAATGTCCATGGCAAGGAACCCTAGAGAGTCCCAATGAGATAGATTTATTTCTATGAAACCTGCTACCCAAACCTTTAATAACAGCAGACATCTGATGACTTTAGGTCAAGATGGAACAGAAATACATCTGTATTCTGCTTTTGCTAGTAACAGGAAGGAACAAAGAACGTCAGGGTATAATATTCCCTCCAAGGCATGTGGACAAGCAAGCACACAGCGCTTCATCAGGCACATGCAGCCAATTTAGTGTCTTGGCCAACTGGCTTCCGGTTGTGACAGGAATCCCACCTGCAGGGGGCAGAGCTGCCACACAGCACTCCTGAGAATTAGAGGGAATATTGACAGAGTATTTAACCCTTTCCTATGATCTCTAGCAATTTGTTAATCCTGCCTCACCAAATGTCTGAGATTATAAAACGTATCTACATAGCCACATTGTGTAACAACTTACTCTGGATTGTGCTGAAGACATGCTTTAAAAAAGGACACTGATATTCATAGGAAATTGAATCCTGCATTCAATAACAAATGCAGGCCAGAATCCTATCGATGTTCCAAGTACATGTACGCTGCCATGGCTAATTGATGGTCACCCATACTTTACAGGAACACCAACAGGATTCCAAATACAGTGGTGCCTCGCACAACGATTGCTTCATACAACGATGAATTCACACAGCGATGGGTGTTTTTGAGGAATTTCCCCCATCATTTAACGATGTTCTCTATGGGGGAATTTCACTTAACGATGTTCCTTTTTGCTCATTTAAAAGTGTCTTAAAATGTTTGAAACCTGTTTTAAATGCTTGGATTCCGTAGTGCACCTTGTGAAACATGTGCAAACTTAATTTGGTTTTGTTCTGAGTCTTCATTAATTTTTGGTGATTTTTTTATTTTCCCCATTTAAATCAATTGAATGGACAGTTCAATGCATTTAAATAGGGAAAACAAAAAATCACCAAAAATTAAGGACGACTCAGAACAACACCAAATTAAGTTTGCATAGGGTTCAGGAGGTGGGCTAACGATTGCAAGCATTTAAAACATGTTCCAAACATTGTAAGGCACTTTTAAATGAGCGAAAAGGGACATCGGAAAAGACTTCAAGAGCACTGAAGCCGGCTTCAGTGCTTTTGAAGCTCTTCCGTTTTTGCTCATTTTTAAGGGTCTTACAATGTTTGGAACAGGTTTTAAATGCTTGCAATTGTTAGCCCACCTCTCCTATGGGTTTTTTCACTTAAAGACGGCACTTAAACACTTAACTGGTTTTCAATGCATTCCTATGGGAAATGGTGTTTCACAGAACGATGTTTCACACTACGTTAATTTTTTTGGAACCAATTGTGACAAACCCAGACCTACTGGGATATGCCACAGTTTCACTAAGCTGCCACCAACCATTCCCTGTAAGGAGTCACACAGACTAGGAATGGATTTTTAACAAATAAAGGAATAAGGTTTATTTACATAACACACAGGGAAAATAAAATGATCAAGTGAATAAGATACAGTAACGTGGCTTAGTCTCAATCATACATACACACAGTTTGGTTGACACAGAACACTTAACTTGAAGCACAGACCCTGAACCTATCAGTTCTGGCTAACCATACAGACACCTGAACCTATCAGCTTGGTACTGACTGACACACAGTAGTACCCTGTCTGACACACAGACTCCCACTCAAGCTTCTTCTCTCAGCTCTCCTCCAGTTTCTCCTCACACGCTCCACATATATATACAGTACAGCCCCTCCTCCTGATGTCCCGCCTTCCACTCCCCATAGGATGGAACTTTCCCTCCAAACCCATGACAGACAGGTAACATCAGTGCTGTATGTAACACCAATTAAGATCGTTGTGTGAGGCACCACTGTACAGTGTTTCTACTAGCACCTGCTTCATGAAATGATAAGTCTTTTTATTATTATAAACTCTTCCAGTGCAGTTTACATGCTCTAATAGACTGTATTATGAACACATAACCAGATGTAAATAGCTACACTGTGCATCTAGAGGCAAATACAGAAAAACATGCATTAGAAGTACTGAAATCTGTTTTGACAGAGGCCTAATGCAGGAACTGCAATTCATGAAGTGTTTTACTATGCTCACTTCTAGTCTAAACTTACTCCACAGCTACAGTAATATAGCCAGACCTGGCTACCAAGTTGCTTGGCCTCATTTCAGAATCAAAGCAATGTTAGTTTAATCATGTGAGATACTACTTTGTTATGTAGTTACATTAGGAACCCTCCCCTATACATTTTAGTATTGTATAGCTGAAATGAACTTACCTTACTTTCTTCTACAACTTCAAAGGTAACAGAGGCAAAAAGCTAGGGAACAAGAGCAGAAGTCACTCTTCAGTGTGTCGTTCTTTGTTATGCACTCTATAAAAATCACCCAAAAATTAATAGCTGAACCACTAGAAATTCTATCAGGCAATGTATTTCTGTTTTTAACACAAGACTTCAGCAAACAAGGGTTCTGACAAGGGTTCAGACCTTACATTGCTTCTCCATGTAAACATGTTCAACGGAATTCTACCATTTCCTCTGCTTTTAGAATTTATAGATCGTTGAGCATGAAAATGGACAAGCTGCAGTACAGAATTCCGTATGGATCATATTTCAGGCTCTTAATACCAAAACCCTCATTCAGGTATCTTCTAGTACTAAGTATTTAATTCAAATTGTCCACACATGTTCATGTTTGTCACTGCAACTGTAAGATCTCAGGACATGGTATATCCTCTACATAATTCTGCATCTGTAGAGCAAAGGTAATAAACTGCTTAATAGCTCAGTGATTTAGGTATCTGGTTGCACAGCCGGAGACTGGAAGTTTGATTCCCCACTATGCCTCCCTGAAAAGAGTGTGATTCAAAGATTCATAGCGTAACTTCCACCTCTGCACTTCTAAGATTAAGATTGGACAGATAGTTCAGTGGTTTAGATATCTGGCTGTGGAACCAGAGCTTGGGAGTTCAATTCCCCACTGTGCCATCTGCAAGAAGAACCAGTCTGTGTAGCCATGGGCAAGCTGCAGTGTTAGCACTGCCCCAGAATAAGGCAATGCTAAACCACTTGAGGAGTTTCTACCTAGCTATCTCTGCAAAGGATCACCATAAGTCAGAATTGACTTGACAGAACATGATTATTATTATAAAACAAAGGTAAATAATTTTATGGAGTGAGTACAGGCCATTTATCCATTCCTTAGACATGCTATAGGCTACCCTGCCCTTAAAAAAAAACCAACTTGAAATCAGAGTAGGCAGAAGACTACTTTGGGCTTCCCAATTATGGTTTTGGAGGGAAGGGGATGAAAAAGCACTGGGCACTTGTTTATTTTGTAAGAGAACTGCTATCCCTGGAGCTTTCCAGGAGTAGCAATTTACCCCATGGTACCTTTAAGACTAACAAATTCATTTCAGTGTGAGCTTTTGTAATCCATTTACCCTGGCAGAACAGAGAAGCATATAGGGAGAGACACATGAGGACTGAAACCACTGAGAAATTCATTACGCTATAACAGCTTCCCTCCCTACAACCTCCAGTGTCAGAAGCGTATACTTTTAAGTGGTCTTCAAGTACAGTCTACAGCACAGTAGTCAATCTGACAAGTTCCAAAATGGGGTTGAGGGTTAGTAATATCTTTCTGTTTTAAGAAGGGTTGTAACATGCACAAAATATGTACAGGTCCAACTGATCACAACCATTACTTGTCCTTCAGGATGTAATGCTGGATTCAGAATCATCTCTAGAGTGAGAACTGGTTTCAAAAGACCAACATCAAGTCCCAGGCGAGATGGCTCTGCCCAGAGCATGTGGTCCTGGCAGCATAATTAGGATGTCTCTGGTCATCCCAGAGCTTCTCTTTCACACAACTTTCTACTCTATGAAAAGCCCATGGTCAAGAATCTGTGTGACATTATTCCTGAGAGCCCGAATCTATCAAGGAGAACAGTACAGAACTGCTTACCTTGGAAAGAACTTCTGGCAAGTATTCAGGCCGATATGTAACAAATGGAAATAGTGCAGAGACATTTGAAAGGACACAGGATAGGATGAGGGGATCCTTGGTTTCATAGCTGAGGACAAGCTGCAGCAATTCGATCCCCTCAGACACAGGGATGTCCTAGAATAAGAAAACAACTGTAAGCGCAGTTCTGCTTTGTAAAATACCAATCCTGCTTCCTCAGGGAGACAAATAAGACTATTTGCCTGTACCCTTGGCTGGTAACTAGCAAACTTGCAGAAATGTCATTTTCGCCTCTTAACATGTTTACACAAGAGATATTATTTGTCAGAAAACAATACAGACAGTTTAAGATGGGGTATTTCAATAAACAGGTGAGAGCTGAAATGTCTTAAGTAATCCAATAGGAAAGTTTGCAGTACTGGATGCTTAGCTCATGGTAAAAGAGACTTTGTTGTTTGTCTTTCTGGACAGCGTTTAATCTCCTGACTGTGCAAAGCATTTAGCAGTGTCAACACAACTACTGGGACTTTCCAACTAATTTAGCCTATTATTCAGCATTCACTGTCACAACAACTACTGAATACCATGAATTCAGCATTCCTAATGAAAGACTGATATATGCAAATTCCAATACACTATCTAATTCCATGGCATCTCAATACCTTCTGGACAGTGGGCAGGCGAGTGGGTGATTATGAGAAGAATGACTTCACTAAAACATAACAAAATTATAAGCACAAAACAGCAATACTATGATGGCTGAATATGAAAATGTCAACATATATTCCTGCTTGTGCATTTTGTCCCACTTTTCTTCCTGAGCTATTAAGTGCTAAACCTAATGATTGCAACAGATTCAATTTTCCACTGTATTCAGGGAAAACCATTCCTGGAAAAAAAATCCTACAAACTTGATTGTAGATAAAGCCCAATTCATGTGTAATCCTAGTTGCGTAGTTGCTCTTGCAGAACTACCCATCCTTAAGTTTAATTGCCCTCCAACATATGAAGGACCCCCAAGACATGGGGGGAGAGACTTTGTAATTTCATCCCTGTAGCAAAAGTAATTTAAGAATTGGATGTTTATTATCTGAAATACTTGAGGTTTTCTAAAAGTAGTAATGGAACAACAAACACTATATGGCTGTATTTTTCTTGAATTTCTTTACAAGACTCAGAATCTTTCTTCAAACTAGTATTTCTAATTGGGAAACATTATAACATAGGGAAACATTTGGCTGTACTGCAGCTAAAACTGTGCTCACGACCTGGGGTTCAAATCCCAGGTAGCTGGCTCAAGGTTGACTCAGCCTTCCATCCTTCCGAGGTCGGTAAAATGAGTACCCAGCTTGCTGGGGGGGCAATGTGTAGCCTGTATAATTAAATTGTAAACCGCCCGGAGAGTGCTTGTAGCGCTATGGGGCGTTATATAAGTCCAATAAATGAATAAATACATAAATAAATGTTTCAACTACAGATGCAGTAGAAGGATAAATCAAAAGCCTTTATGCAACTGTCCAGGGGAACTCACCACTAATTCTCAGTATCAGAAACTAGAGTAAAGCTGAATAAAAGAATCATAGTGCCAATGTATAATGTAAATAGCATTTATCTATAAGGGATAGATTTGTATTATTAAATTCCATTGACTCAGAAACAGAAGAATTGTGGATTGCAATCAGGTATGTTATCAGAAATGAACAGTCAAAAGAAAAAAAGCCTAAACGGATGATTAAAGAAACACAATTGTTAATGACAGATGAGAACAAAAAGTGAAAAGTGATAATAATAGTGTGAGAATCCTAAAGTGACTATCATGTAGAAACAAAGAGAACTATTGCAATAGTGCAAAGAAGTAGAACAGAATAACAAAAGAGGAAAGAAACAAAAAGANNNACACACACACACACACACACACACACTCTGTTAGTGCGGAGACTGGGTGTTAGGTTTTCATGAGGTAATGCTGTCACAACAAACCAACAAAGGCAGAAAAAAACAACAGGTTTGGACTGCATACTTCTTTATCCAGGGTCCGGAACATTGGGCTAATGATGCTCTCCAAGAAAAAAGTCATAGCGTCCCATTGTACAAAGGAAGGGGAAAAGATGGAGCAGTGGCCTTCGTTGGTTTTAGCTGTAAAGAGGAATTAAAAGAAAATACTGAGATATTACTACTGTAAGGCCTCCCTTGCACAGAATTTATTTTCCCACATCGAAGACTTTCCCAGTAAAATTCTTTAAAAATTTTATAGCATGAACAATGTTACGTATTTTACAGATATTTTACATTTGTAAAGTGAATGGTTTTATTTTATGGGAATGTTCAGCTAATAATCTTGATGGATCATCATTAAGTTTTTAAGGTAACTTACAGTTCATGGGTCCAGTCTCGACAGGGGTGGACAGCTGGTATTTCAGCCATTCCCCAGCCATCTGGAAGCCTGTTCGAGGATCCAGTCGGCATGCCATCCTTATCACTTCTCCCTGTTGTGCTCGGAAAGCTGCCAAGAAAATTAGACACAAATGGGCTGGCTCGGAAAAAAACAAAGGATTCATCCCAGAATATTATCCCAAATCTGGAAATATGTATTGCTCCTGCTCAATCAGTCCACACAAAGGGTGGCGCAAGAGATATCTAGGTGGCAACTGTTTAGTGTTCCAGTTTCAGCAACTTATCAGGTATATGAGACATTTAGGAAAAAATCTTGCCATTCTGAACTTTTAAAAAGTGGATTTCTGGCCTGTTGCAAGTTCCCTGCTGGTCCCATAACACAAGAAAAGAAATCACTAATACCACCCTCAGACATTTGTAACTAAGATATTTAGATATTTACAACAGTGCAGGAAGAAAAACTATAGGCCAGTAATCAAATGAATGAATCACAGATTAAAAGCATAGTCTGAAATAACCAGTATAGGCAGAACAGCATCAGTAAAAAAGATCACATGAAATTAATATATCTGTCTCACATGATCCCAGTCACACTTGTGGAAAATAAAATAACAAAATAACACACACACACACCCCAAATATAAGGCATGTTTGTTTATAAATAAAAAGGAAATCTCCAGGCTTGCTGAGTCTTACATCACATAGCTGGCAAAAAGACAGGGAATTTTTTTTACTTAGTCTTAGATTATAATGTATTACATTGTGAACCAGGTTGATAATCCACAATGAAAATGTGTTCTCCTGGGCTTCTATGGAGACTGTTCTACATATCAAGTGACTCTTTTAATGCACTAAGCAAAGCATTATTTGAGAGAATACATCACAGGTGCATTGAAATGCATTGCTACTCTTAGAAACCATGGTTTAAAATCCTACCATCACTTCACTAAGACCACCACTGATATGAAGGTGGGACAAGCATACCTAGTATCAAGGTTGGAAAGACTACAGCACCTATCATTTAAGGAACCTTTAGCCGGACAGCACCACCAAACTTCTTAGACACTCTTACCCAAGTCATAAGTGATGCAGACCCCATATGGCTAGAAAAATATGAGATAATTACTTTTGTTAAAGCTCTGGCAAGGTGTGATAGCCCGTGTCTGGAATCCTGTGTTTAAAATCAGGCAAAATACACCATAGAGTAATTTTATACCCAAATGACTCACAGGTATGACCAAGTAATCAAATGGAAGTCTTATCTGTGTACAACCTTCACACACCTTCAGTGATATGCATCTGTTTCCTCTCGTTAAAAACAACTTCACAACAAATAGGAGAAATTATACTAAAATTAACCTACAGACAGCACCTCTCTCACACTTGACTATATATTTATAGACAAAACTGAAAGACTCCTGCACAAAGATTGTCCATTAAGCTATTAGGAGATTTTGAACAAAATTACTGTATTGCTTTGCAGATGGATAGAACAGCTGTGGACAGTAGCACCAGCTGAAAACGTGCATGCATAGGGGTAGCCATTAAAGGAAAAGTGAAATGAAACAGCTGTATTGTGAACTGGAATCTCTTGTTGCAAATGTCAGTAAACAGCCCCCATATTAGGGTACCCCACATGCACAGTCTAGGTTCAGAAAAAAAATTATACTTAAATTCTTGTATTCTGTCTACTGCATATGCCTACAGCTTATTCATCCGCCTGCCTTTTGTAAAAACTGTTGTTTTGGATCAATAGAATTTTTTTTCTAAAACCTACTGCTACCATACAAATGTTGTGAAAGATGAGCTCCAAGAACCATTTTGAAAATTCTTGTATTTTTTCTAACGCATGTGATAGCACAACTAAATACGATATATAGTTGTGGTAAGGATTAAGTTGGATTTGTGCTTCTGAAATACATCACTAATAGAGGAGAAAGAAAAACTCACTGCTGGACTATACTAGAAGTCTACCAAGTCAAACATATGTGGCCAGACAGACCCACAAGAAAGACATGAAAGTAACAGCCTTTCCCCCCTCCTGCCTTCAATCATGTGATATTCATTTTATCCCTTCTATAGGAAAAGGGATGTCATAAGTTCCCTCCAACATGCACAGAGGCTCTGGAACACTGGATTTGCCAGGTCAACTGACAACTAATTGATAGTTTTGCTGCTCCAAGCTAATTTGTGAACTATCTCCACCCCATTCCCTAGCATCCTCTCCCCTCAGACACCAAAGAGACAGGCAGAAAGGTGGTGATATTTTCCTACTGCCAAGAGGATAAGCCTCTATAGCAACCATTCTCAGCCTTTTTTGGCTACAGCCATAAAAATAATATGAAAGAAATATAGGCTGAATCAGGGTTGTATATATTGCATAACTAACCTTACAAGGTGGGATGTGAAGAATTGTTTCCAGTCTGTGGCCCCCTTCAAATATACCAGTGCCCTTCAGAGGGTCATTTGGCCCCCATTGAGAATGGTTGCTCTATATAGGACTGTAGCTACCTTGCTTGTATGTCCTGGCAGGATCAGATCCTCTGTTCACATATGGGAGTCCTCCTATCTCTTGTAAATGTCACACACACTTGGCCTTCCCCTCAAGTAAGTAGCACTAGGACATGGCATTCCTTCAAGGCAAGTGTTGCTGGGAGGCAGCTGTTCTTCTGGATAAGCACTGTAGGATGCTGGCCTCCCTTCACCTAAGCACTGTTCAAAGTTGGCACTTCACCTAGGTATCCAATTAAGTTTATGATCCCACAGCGCTGTGGGTAGTATGTTACAGAATGTTTCCTGGGGCCCACTGGAGGCCTGTCTGATATCAGTTGGTAGTCTCTCCCTGCTGGGCATTTGAATGCCCCCCCAGCCAGCTTTTGCTCCCCCCGCCAGCCCTCTGTCCATGTGACAACCTCTCCACTCCACTATTTCCCTCCTGTTGATGCTGGGTTGGGCATCTCACTCATAAAGCCTCTTCCCCCTGCCTCGGGGCCACTGGCACATGCAGGGGTCTTGTATATAGGGGTCTCTTGGCCAGGGCTGGTGACTCTTCCACAGACAGGACTGGAGCCCAGTCCCTCCCTCTCCAGGTGTTCTGCACTCGTATTTCTCTCGCCCCTCTTGACACTTCTTGTCAAGTGAGAGCTTTCCACACTCCCACCTCATGCTGCCTCTCTCTTCTTTTCTTCAGTGTTACAGCCTCCCCCACCCTCTTGCTTTAATTTCCTGGTACAAACTTCTTGCATTCCAATCTCTTCTTTCTTCAATATCCAGTTGTTCCCTCCTCCTGTGTCGACATCTTCTCTGTATACTCCAATCTCCCCCACCCACCTGCTCCTCCTGAGGGATCTGTGCTCTTCCAGTTTTCATATTTCCCACTCCCACTCTTCCCTTTGTGCTCTCTGTGCTCCCACCCCAATGCCAGGCAAATGTCCATTTGGGCAGCATGCAATACCAATACCATTTCTGGTCACTCTAGCACAAACATGGCGGGCTCCCAGCCAACCAGTCTTATGCAGGATGAGAGGCAAGGGAGTGGACCTGGTAGCACTCTCACAATCTGTTGCTGGAACCAGAAGCTTTATTTAGTTACCATGGCTAATATCTGATGACAGACCTACCCTCCATGAAACTAGCTAGGTAGGAGGCACATGATGGACTTTTCAAGCTCCAACTCATCTTTTGGCCCATTCCAAGATTTTGTTAATGCCACTCAAATGAAAGAGTTCAAAGAAAGTGTCAAGCTAATCTCAAAAGTGAGGGGTTTATGGGAAGAAGACTAAACTTACAATTGAAGAAGCAATTGAAGTCTTCATCGCTGTCAAAATCAAAGCGAGAATATTCACAACTGGGGCTGTCTGTTTTAGAAGGAAAACCCACCTGGAAAAAGAAAGTACATGAAGCGATGGAAAACACCAAACATTATGTTATTTCCTACTCTGAAGAAATTCTGACACTCAAGAATGAAGCCAGAAATGCTAATTCTGCACAGGTTTCTCCCTAGCGTCACAGCAAAATATGGTCAACAAAATAGCTGTTTGAGCCTTTTAAAATGCATTAGGATAAAAATATGGCCTTAAAGTGATTTCTTCGTGTTTACTTGCAGAATACATTAAAATAATAAAAATGTTTAAGAGCTTCTCCTTACAGTTTATAAAAGAAAAACAATTCTTTTGACAGAAATAGAAGGCTTTTCTTTGGGCCTGTGACAGGGGGAATCAACACACAATAGGTCAGTCACATAATCTCATGTATTACACAGATTGGACAGGCCCTTGCTCTCTGATCCAAATCACCCACAATCAACATAAATGCTTAGGTGATTACTCTCCTGGCAGTTTTTCAAATCTCTCTGTCTCAGACTCTGAAAACTGTGTTGTATTCTATATACTGATATATTATCATGCTGTTAGTAAAAAGACTCTCAGGAATATACCTTCACTAAATTAGTCATAGATGCCCTCAAATAATTTGGGATAATAGCCAGCAACACAGGATCACGTGACAGGACTTCATGTCGAAGAAGAGCTCCCCATGTGATCTGAGTTGAGGAGCGTAAAAACTAGAAGAAGAAAAAAGGAAACAATTTATTAAGCCAGGAATCTGTATAAGAAAAAAACAAACAAAACATTCTGAAGTCAAAATGGGAATGATGGCCCAGTGACCACTCAACAAGCATAGGTAAATACTCAAAAGCTCAAATGAAACCAAAAAGTAACACTTCAAGTGCACATATGTCAAAAGAAGAAGTGAGGAAAACTTCTGTTCAATTGAGACAATAACATTTGCTATCATTGCAAACAAGACTTTAATGAATGGTGGATGGCACAGAAGTACACACCACTTCACTTTCCAGAGTTTTAGAGAAGGAAAGGACAAAGATTCATACATGCATTTTATAGACAATACCATTGCTTGCCCCAACAGATCAAACCAGCACAATTCTCAGTATGGAGTGTTTAAGTTAACTGCCATTCTGCCTCCAAGAAAACCTCTCTTTAACTCAAGGTGACACAACTTCAAAAAATATTCAGAGTGCTTATGTTAATCACACAGGCTCACAATATATATGGGTGATCTATAAACTCAGGGTAGCTTACCTACCTACCTGACTTGGGTGGGTTGTGAAGGCTAGAAATGCCTCAAGATATTTTCCAAGGTTGGCAGGTATTTCCACATCTGAATCAGGGCCCTGTTGGAAGCAAAGTGCAGGTGAAGAACATTTGGAACCTAGCACTGTTCCAACACCAAGCTGCTCATATCTCTCCTCCCTTTTGTTTTCTCAAGGCTAAGCATAGCCAGTTTCTTTCAGATTTTCCTCATAGGGCTTGGTTTCCAGTCCCCTGATCATACTTGCTGCCCTCCTCTGAATTTGCTCGTTTGTCATTATCCAGAACACAGAACTCTAGTTGAGGCCTAACCAGTGCTGAGTAACGCCCTCCTCTGAATTTGCTCCAGTTTGTCATTATCCAGAACACAGAACTGTAGTTGAGGCCTAACCAGTGCTGAGTAAAAGGGGACCAGTACCTCAAGGAATTTGGAGACTTCTGCTAATGCATCCTGCATTTACCTTTTTCTGCAGCCACATCACACTATGGGCTCATATTCAGCATTTGATCTACAACAATTTCAAGATCCTTCTTATTCATAGTATTAATGAGTCAAGTAACTGCACACGTTTCCCCCCCCAGGTGTAGAACTTTACACCTATCCAAGTTAAATTTCATTCTGTTGTGTTCTGCCCAATGTTCAAGTCTATCAAGATTTTTTTGAATGTTATTCCAGGTTTACTAGAATGCAGCTAATGGTGAAAGACAACACTCTCTCCTGGGGAATGAAAATTATATAACAGCTTCTGAAAAACAGTGTTGCAAGAATGCCTCGTAATGGAAAAACTCACCACCAATGCACACAGCTGGCTCCCCAAAGAGCATAAGACTTGGCAAAGTCTCTTCAAGAAAACATAGTGCTTCTCTACTAGCCCTTCACCATCTGCTGTCCTGAAAAGGAATTTTAAAAAAACTTCATGCATATCTTAGTGTAGTTAGGGATGAATGTAAGTGTGAATTAAGTCCCTCTGCTCAAAAACCTTGTAGGATGAAATCTGCCTATGCAACAGGAATGTTGCCATACATGTAGTCATAGCGAGGAGGGACAGGATCTGTTCTCGATCATCCCAGAATGCACGACACGTAATAATGGGCTCAAGATACAGAAGTCAGGTTTAGGCTCTATAACAGGAAAAGTTTCCTAACTGTTAAAGCAGTATGACAATGGAACCAATGACCTTGGGAGGTGGTGAGGGCTCCAGCGCTGGAGGCATTCAAGAGAAAATTGAAAACCATCTGTCAGATCTGCTTTGATATGGATTCCTGCATTGAGCAGGGGGTTGGACAGGCCCTTTCCAACTCAGTTATTCTATGTCAATCTACCACTGATTAAAATCTTCCTTTCACAATTTTGGAGCATGAATGACCTTGCAGCATTTTGTATGAGCCACACACACGCCTCAGAATCAAGTAAAGAAGCCTTTATTCGGCAGCAATCTGCCACTGTTGAGGATATAAGTCCTGCTGTGTAGGTGGAGCTAAGCAAAGGACTTCAATATCTGTCAATTAAAGTAGCATCAGAATTCCGCAAGAAACCTTACTTAGTCAAGTTCTGCCTGTTGCAGTTCTGAACCTTCCCTGTTTTCTTCAGTGGCTGACAAATGGCTGTTAATAATAGGATTTTCTGGAGCTCACTAACTCCTAGTATCATCATAAATTAAAAGCAACTTAATGGTGTATAACAGTATACTCTCCCCACTGGAAAAATCTTCCTGATTTCATGAACAATAGGAGAAAAGGATCTTGTTCTCACACACAGGTCATCATAGAATACTTCCAAGTCTACTGAAAGAAGCCTAAAGCTTCAAGCTCCATATAAATCGAAGTATTAAAAAGGGTTTACAATAAATACTTCTAAAATATTAAATTTTCCAAATTTGGCTTTACCTAATAAGAACAAGGATACGAAGGAGAGATAAAGTCTCAGAGAGTTGAAAAAGTGAGTTTATCATACTTTTTAAAGCAAAGGAATGCCTAGATGTGAAGTTTATTTTATGATGTATGCCTTGAGCTCTGCCCACCCAGAAAGTACAACAATGGTCAACTAAGACCTAAATATCACAAGACCAAGATATTTCTTGTGAAAAAAATTCCTTGAGCCAAACATATGACAATGTCTATCTAGGGGCTATGAAACATAAGACCCACATGTTGCTTGTGAAAAAACATAAGAACTACCGTAGTTTCCATTAAAAAGCCATAATGTCCCCACAGCAGCAGAGCGTAATACTCACTGAGCAGCTGAAAGAATGTAGTGCATGGCAACATCCCCAAACAAAACCATCAAGGGCTTGCGGTCATCCAGCTTCCCCTACACAGAGAGAAAATTAAATCTTTGTCATGATACATGCAACATCAACCAGAAGTTGCAAGTTTATTAGCTATTGCTAATACAGGAAATGCAAACCATATTAATGATTAATTCTACATTCCACATTTTTCTCCACCTGTTGTGCTATCACACAGGACAATGTGGAACAGCAGACAAGAGTTATAGTAATGGGAGTCATCCAGCCGTTGAAGGGCAGGCAAAGGATAGTCAAGACTATCACACTCTAGAGAAATCCTTCTCCCTGAATAGCAACCCCCTATATAAATTGCCAAACAGGAAGAGTCCAGAGGAATGGAGATGAAGAGGAAAATCCTTTATGGCCTTACAGTGCTCAGTCCTGTTCTATATTTATGCATGAAATGTCATGCATGAAATCTATTCATAAAGGCGACAAAGAAGAGCCACTCACTTTCCTGCTGACTACAATCAGGAGGCACTCTGCTGCTCCCACTTGAAGTTCTGGCTCATTCAAGAGCAAGCACAGCATTTCTAGGAGCTTGCAGTTATCTGCCGTAATGTGGCTCATAGCCACCCAGTCAATGTAGCCAGCCAGAGTATTGAGAGCTGCGATCCCTACTCGACAATTTGCTTGTGCCTGTGGAGAAACAGTGATTGCACGATCAGACAACAAATGATCCTGTTACAGTATTAGCTTCACAGTCACCAATAACCAGTAATAATCTGGCACTACTGCCAACTGATCGTAGCGCATATAAGCATAGAAAGATTAAAAAATAAACTTAAAATGTTATCCTTTTTTGCTCTGAGGCAACCACTCTATGAGAAACTTGTTTCACTTACAGAAAGAGACACTAAATGGAAGAAAAAGTTGGAGCAATCTTCTGAAAATACCCAAGTTGTGGCTTCACAGCTCCAGTTGGAGCAATCTTCTGAAAATACCCAAGCAAGCATTTCAAAGCTGACATGGAAAAATCTATTTAGGATAGGTTGGTTCTCTTTTTCACTGGTTTTAAGCATGTAGTGGCTTCACAGCTCAAGGAATTCCTGGTTGAGACAGCTTATTTAGATTCACTTCAAACCAGCTTCAGGCCTGCCTTTTGGTTGGAGACAACTTTGATTGTCTTGATGGACAATCTACATCAGGAACTAGATGAGGGAGTATGTTCCTGTTTGGATTTCTTACCAGCTCTCAAGACCACCAACCGTTATATCCTTCTGGATTCTCTCTCTGAGATGGGACGGAGGAACTGTTTTACTGTGGCTCCAGTCCCTCTTAGAAGGCCAAGCTTAGAAAGCAGAGCTGAGGGAGCCCTGCTTGATGCCCCAGCTGTTAGCTTACAGGCTCCTCAGGATTCTGTTTTCTCTTGAAGGAACAACTAAAAAATTTAGTTGAATAACACACATGGTGTGGACTGGATTTGTAGTTAGTATTTACTTAAGTCATCTTCAGTCCAATTTGTTATAAGAAACTAATAAATCAAATATATGAGTGACTAAAACAGACAGCAGAGAAAAGTAATGGAATAGATTGTTGAGCAAACATTTTGACCTTCTCATCTACTTACTTTTAGTTCTTGAGATGCATCCATTTTCTGGAACATAGAATAAAGAATGAATGAGCTACTGGAGTGGACACTTCAGCAGCACTTCAGGTTACACACAATTTACTTCCAGTCCACTGCTTATTATAGGCAACATAGTCACGGGATATTTCAATAAATGTTTCTTCCATGAAATACACCCAGGTTCACTATACTAAATAGATACATAATTTATAGATATAAACTGTATTTGTTTTAAAGGGTAAATTGCGTATTTGAATGATCAGATACAGAGCTAACAGAGCATGCCAAAATATATATCACCCCTCCTCCATTCTGGAATGTATAAACAGTAGAACTGTTAGATCTGACAGAACAAGTTTGCATATACTGTGGTGCCTCGCTTAACGACGATAATCCGTTCCAGGAAAATCGCCATTAAGCAAAAACATCATAAAGCGAAATAAAAAACCCCATTGAAACGCACTGAAACCCGTTCAATGTGTTCCAATGGGGTAAAAACTCACCGTCCAGCGAAGATCCTCCATACGGCGGCCATTTTCGCTGCCAGTATAGCGAGGAATCTGTCCCTAAACACAGCGGGGAGCCATTTTAATTACCCGGCGACCACTTTGAAACCACCAATCAGCTGTTAGAAAAACGTCGATTTGCAAAGAATCGGTTCCCGAAGCAGGGAACTGATCATCGCAAAGCGAAATTCCCCCATTTAGACCATTGTTTTGCGATCGCAAAAAGTTCATCATAAAGCGAATTCGTCGTAATGCGGGGCAATCGTAAAGCGAGGCACCACTGTATACAGTACACAGAAAACTTAGGTCTGCACTTGACACACTATATTTCAGAGGTGTGTCATAAAATTATAGCACATAAAAAATACAAATGTAGTTGGAAAGATGAACAATAAGGACAAGTGTGATGAAATCAACATATGACCAGGACTCTATTTTACATATACAACTTTTGAATGTCACAGATCTTTCTTCTACAACACCAAAGGATTCTCTCAGAGATAAAATGATCCAAAATTTCAAACAGCCAACCCATGGAATTCTCTATTAATGCAGGTAACATATTTTATGAATACGTATGTCATACATCTGACTATAACAATAAGTTCTCCCATTCTTAATATTAAATACTGTATTAAAAGCACCTAGTTTCCAAATACAAAGTCACGATGTGTTTCAATTCCAGTCATGTTTTTTGATTTGACTGTCCCAGCAACAATTCAATATATTAAATATTTCATAGACATCAAATATTTCACCCCCCAAAAAAATATCCACTAGAATTCTTTCTTTTGGTCAGTTATGAAAAGCCTTGAAGTTCTATGTTAAACACAGTGCCCAAATATTCAAGATACAATGGAAATCTCTGTCTTTAATAACTGCCTACAAACAGAAATAATTATTTGTTTGCTGCAGACATTTTATTGAATTAGATCAATGCTCTGATGTGACATACTTGCTAATAGATCTTATAAAGCTAGAATGATAATATCCCAAATTTGCAGTCCTATCTGTATATCCCTAACAACACACCATTCAATACAATCAAACTATTTTATAAATGCAGGTTTGTTCTTAAGCTCCAGATAATAAAACCAAGCAGTTCTCTTCTTTATGGATAAACCACAAGAGTCTCCCTATGAGTTTATCTTGAAAACTTTACATGCTATTATTTCCATAGTTGGATCACAATATATTATAGACATAAGGACCTTTTCACACAGATCAACTCAGTTACCTAACCTCCACAAAGCTACTTGCAGAAACATCAATCTTCAAATATTGTTCCACAGAAATACCTCAAAACAATATGAAAACTGGTGGGAGAAAGCACCTTGGTTCTGGGACACCAATCTCATTAATTAGGAGGAATCTATAATTAGAAATAAACTTGTGCTTCCAAACGTAGGCATCTATTCATACATATTTTTTAAAAAATCAGTTCAGTCTACCTTTCTGCCTATAGATTTATCATGTCCATGGGTTTCCCTTTTTCTCTGTCTGCTAGAAATTATGTTTCAAATGAGAACTTGATTTGAACACTTTGCATTTTGCTCCTTTAGAATAATTAATATTTAGGGTATCCATGCCTTAGGAAGGTAACAGCATGTCTATTTCATAGACAAAAGAGACTTCACAGAGGCTTTGGTCGACCCCAGAAACTGATGCAGAGGCATCAGCAAATCAACAGCGTGTCTTCTACAGCTAAATGATTCACCAACAACTCAAAAGACTACTGATAATGAATGATATAACCTCAAGTGTTTCTGAGCAAAACCTCAAATTAGTCATTTTCTCCCAGCAAAAATCTAAAGTGTAGCAAGAGATGTCACAACCTTGTCAGACTTGAAACCCTAGGGATACACAGTCTTAATTAAACAAACAAGGAGACTCTTACCATACGTCTGTATTTGTTAACATTCTGCTGCAAGGTGTTGAGCAAGAAGCTAAAGACCTTATCCATGTTCTGTGTGAGAGTTTGCTGGATGTCCCGTCTTCGTTGGGCTGGCAATGTCTGGAAGGTCACCACATCTTCTGCCAAGCGCAGAAGTATAAACATGACCAACTCTGTCTGAGTCTCCTATCATTAAAAACAAAGAAGAGACACAAACAATATGAGCACAGAAATAGCTCTGAAATCTTTGGAGAATGTTTGTACATATGATATATGCATACTTTGATACAAATACCTCCCAAGGAAACAAGTCCTGAAAAGAGGCTGTAGCTTGAATTTAAGATGCAAGTCATACCCCTTGTTTGGAAAGTGTATCCAGCTCCTTTAACATATCAGGCCAGTGCTGGGGCCACTCACGCTTGATCATCTCCACTACTATGCGAGAAAGAACATCCTTAATGTGACTTTCTTCCTCTAAGATATTCTGTGTACCCTGTGAATGAAAAACTGAAGAATTACATTATGGAAGATACTAGATGTACAGATTCCATCACTTACAAAGCTGAACACAGAGACATATTAGGACAAATTCCACCTTCAAATGAAATTGTGTAAGAGCACCATCCTGGTCTGCCATCACAAGGGAACTTAAATACAATGGTGCCTCGCTTAACGGGTGCCCCATTTAATGATGAAATCGCATACCAGCGAACTTTTTGCGATCGCTTTTGCGATCTCATTGCAATGTTTTAAATGTAAGAGCACCATCCTGGTCTGCCATCACAAGGGAACTTAAATACAATGGTGCCTCGCTTAACGGGTGCCCCGTTTAACGAGGAAATTGCATACCAGCGAACTTTTTGCAATCGCTTTTGCGATCGCATTGCAATGTTTTAAATGGGGAAAAATCGCTTTGCGATGATCGGTACCCTGTTTCGCTTACCGATCATCGCAAAGCGATGATTTTTTAACAGCTGATCGGCAGTTCCAAAATGGCCGCCGGGTTAAAAAAAATGGCCGCCCGCTGTTTTCTGGGACGGATTCCTCGCTTACCGGGCAGCGAAAATGGCTGCCGTATGGAGGATTTTCGCTTAAAGGTGAGTCTGAAGCCCATAGGAACGCATTGAAGGGGTTTCAAAGCATTCCTATGGGCTTTTTAATATCACATAGTGACGAAATCGCTTTGCAACGATTTTTGCTGCACCGATTATCGTCGCTATGCGAGGCACCACTGTAACTACTATGGTACTAAAAATAAATGTCAAGCCAGACAGATCAACAAACCTAAGAAAAGTCTGAATTTCGTAGTTTCCCTCTACAGTATAATACAAACACTTTTTTTCTACAGAAATAATGGCAATATTACTGAAACCTGCCCCAGAGATAAGACCCAAGCTCCATTCCTTCCTTATGTACATCACAAGCATAGCTTTTGTCCTTTCACTGGGTGATTAGAGGGCTTTTCTTGTCCTTTCACTGGGTGAATAGAGGGCTTTTCTCCATCACATAGGTAGGAAAATTGAAATCAGTAGAGCATTTTTGTACATTTTTGTACAAAGCAGGTAGGCTGCAATTCAGAACTAAAGTGAAGTCTGCCTTACAATGGTGACACTGGAGAACATTTTACTACTAAATAATAGTGTAGCAATTTAATCTGAAATTCAACTCACATTAGATATAAGCCCCATCACATTGTTCTTCAAATAGACTTTCTCCAGCCGAGCCATAGTATTCCATCGGAATCTACCCAACAAAACACAAACCCATCAATTTGATTTTACACTAGTAAATATACCATGATGATACTGCTACTGCAAGTAATGAGTTCAGTGAGCCTTACTCTCATATCTACTGTAAGACTGCAGTAGATGAAGGAACGCAATATAGAATTCTAAAATTATTGATGCTAGAACAAAAAATGAACTGAGTGGTTTCTTCTGCTCCTCTAATACTACAATGTGCATCACTCAACTCAGCTTATTAGCAATAAATTAAAACCACACAAAAGTAAAAACTCTTTTTAACATAATATATTATGAATACATTCACACCATAATTTACAGTGTCACTCATAAACCTGGATAGATTTTAAAGGGGTATAGATGAGTTCAGGAAGTAGAGTTGTATTAACAGCTATCTACCAAAATAGTTTAAAAGAGGTACTAAGTTTATATGTTATTACAATAAACCAGATGCTGGGTGGCGTCAGCAGGGAAAGGGCAATGTGGCCTACTTATGGACTTCTAATAGGCATCTGATTCCCTTGAGGAGATATCATTTCTGGTCTGATCCAACAAGGCTCTTCCGCATGGGGTGAGGACATGTAGTCCCTTCTGAAAACAGTCTGTGCCATATAATTACCGAGTGGCCTAATTAACCAGAAGCTGGTAGCCTAAGCAAGAACAGTCTTGGGGAGAGTCAATACTACACGCACAAAAAGAATAAGAAAGCACCAGGTTTACTGACAACAGAGGGGAGATATGACGGCTAGATAATTCAACCAAGAAATCACTCCATTAACAAAAAACTGCTATATATGTTCCTTCTTTGAGATTCCTTTTCATGGAAATGGCAAGATGTCTTTCCTTTGCCATAAACCACAAAATTAATAGTAATGTGAGGGAGCAATTGTGACAGACGATAGGTAGTCTGAAAATTACAGTGGTTCATTTTCCTTACTTCACCACATGTTCCAGGATCTGAAGACCAAAGTGCCTAACAATAGCGATCTGGGTTTTCTCTGCCAGTTTCAAACCACAGGGAACACATACTGGACTCTTTTCTTTAAACTCTTCACAGAACTGAAAACAAGAAGAAAATATTCCTTTTAATCAAATATATGATGTGTAAACATTTTATTAGAGCAAGGAAAAACAGAATTCAAAATTGTCTCACACTGTTATACACCTTATATTAAAGACTCCTTTAATGTCTCCCTCAAAAATTTCTAATCTTCGAAGATTCCCTCACTGTTGTCTTTATTGTATGCAAATACATGTTCCGCTGGGTCTCTTCACTCCCTTTCCCTTGTCCCTTCTCATTAGCTGATTGTAGGCTGGTTCCTATATGTTTCCTTTTCTGGTTTAATGTCATCTACAAAAGACAAAACCTCTCCAGAACAATGTCTTTCTGAAACAGGAACACTTCATCTGCTAATCTAAATACCTTACCTAATAAATAAATATTTCTTACATTATCTGTGTTTGCACCGCCACCCATCTTTCTGGTAAGGCCCTCCTCCATATATAACAGAAGAGGCATTTACGCAGAAATTCATCAAGCCCAACTTTACCTGCCACTGACATGTAACAATTATTTCCACCTCTACATCTTTTTGTTTTGTGCAGCTGAGCCTGGCAAGGAGGTGGTGCCCCAGCAAACCTTATGCTTTCCCGTTGCATCTGTCTCATCCCCAACTTCAATGTCCCCTAAGAGGTTGGAAAAGTTGCTTTTTTGGCCTATAACTCCCAGAATCCCAGCAGCCAGCAGAGCTAGTGGCCATACCAGGTGGGTGCTGGACAACATACAAATAAGTCCAGGCTTTGCGTGCAGAGGGGGGGGCATCATGCTCAAGGGGCGGTCCGAGCTAGTGGCTTTGGGCTCCCGATCCCCCCCTCTTTCCCCAACCGAGGCCAGGAAGCCAGCCACGTGGACGGATCACTCTGCTATGGAGCCAACCAGCAAGCACGTGGAACGGGGTGAGGGGTCGGGATCCAGCCAGCCCAAGGCCTCCACCCCCCCACCTCCCTAGCCTGCTTCTGAAAGTCTGTTCTTTCACAAACGGCTCCGAGGCGGTGTTGCTCCGCTATGGGCAGAGGCGATGAAGTTCTCAAAGAGCAGGGATAACAACAGGGAGGCTGCGGGCCACGTGTCTTTCCCTCCTTTCACGTGTTCCGGGTTCGAGCCCGGCCGGAGGGGCTCCCGCCAACCCAACCCAACTCCCGCTCCCTCCAGATCATAACCCACGGGAAAGATCGGCTTGGGAAAGCCCCGCCATTCCCCATCCCGGCGGCACCTTTAAGGCCTCCAGACGGTAGCGCTGCGTGGAGGCCGGGTCCATCATCACCGTGACCGCCTTCACCAGTTGCTCGCAGAGGGTGTTCACGGGGTCCCAAGACATGATGAAAGGCGGGCGGGGGTTGGGGCGCCAGAAGCGGGGACTCGGGAGGGAGAGGGGGTGGGGGGGGAAAAAAGAGAGAGGAAAGGTGCCGTTGCCCGGGGCAACCAGGCACAGGGCAAGAAGGGAAGACTCCCGAGCCGGGCAGAGCCGCCGAAAGAACGTAGTGCGCAGGCTCCAACGGCCAGGTGGCCCCCCCTCCTTGTGCTCTTTGGTCAGGCTTTCGGAATGCCGGCCACAGGTACCATAGACCCACCGCGGCCCCGGAAGTCTAACTCTATGATAGACACATAGAGCTAAAAAAGAAAGACGAGCCCATCCCAGGAGCTGAAAGAGACATTTGGGGTCTTTTTCCTACACGTTTTTCTCCAGGGAGGGCGGGAGAGCTGCCGTAGTGAATGAGGGTGAAGTTAAGGATAAGTAAGTGGGCATCGTTGCCTCCATCCAGAAACAAAAGGAGTAAAAAAGACTAATGAGTGGTAGCTTTTTGTTTTTAATATTCAGGTCTCATGACGTGTGGAAAATGAGACTGATTCTAATGTTACAGCGTGAAAAAAATCTCAATCATTACCTGAATGCCAATGGGACGCAAGTGTGCTGAATACTGTTGCGGTGGATTTGGCTGGGAGCGACGGCAGAGGGACAATTTTAAGTGAAAATGATTGATATTGCCGCCGGAAGGGTGTTTTGTGCGCGGGATTTGGACGGGGGAATTTTATTCGAAGAAGCAAAAGTGAACAGGAAATTAGCTAGACTCATTTTAAATCTGCATGTCCTTCGGGTTCATCGTGGATCGGATCAAAAATCCTAGTTCATAAATCTGTAGCTGCAGATTAAGAAAGACTGTGTCCGTTCAGCAGAAGTCTGACTTTGAATTGGGAAGAGTTGTTGAGGAGGCAAACATTTCAGAGATGGGAAAAGCGGCTCCAGGAATCCCCGGCCAGCAATTTAGCTACATTTATCATTGCTGTGTAACCCATAAGATCTGAGGATTCGTTGTGTCCGAAGAAGTGGATTGTGGTCCGCGAAAGCTCACATTGAAACCAGTCTTTAAAATGCCACAATGTTTTGCTTCCTTTCCGTTTTACAATCATATTGAACTCGGTGTGAGTTGTAAACATGTATAAGGTTGCATTGCAAGAGAGAGAAAAATGATAGCTGCAGTAGAAGACAAAAATATTGTGAGTTTTGATTCAGGAAAGCTCACTATATGACTAAACTATTTTTTCGTTTTTCAAAAACTTTCGTGTGTTTGAGCAAACTTCTACAAATGAAATCAACGAATTGAAAACGTTGAATGCATGTGCTGATCTTTAAAGTGTCACATCAATCTGCCTTTTTTCTTTTTCTTTTTTTTACTTTTAATTTGACACGCTGAGACACACTGACGTGGTTACTTTTCTGCAAGCTGCGTTCAATGACGCGTCATTGTAAGTACAGTAAAGGGTTGCCGGATTACAGTCTAAAGCGCTAAACGGATATCAACGAAGGCAGGGATTGGCAGTCTACATTGCCCTATATCTATGAATCCGTCAGTGCGGCGAAAGAGGTTTGCCTTAAATTCTTCGACGACGGGGGGGGGGATGGGGGAGTCCTGTTCTCTCGCTCAATCCGGCGGTTTGCTTCCCTTTCCGGACTACATGTCCCAAGAGACTTTGCTACGAAGCACGCCTTCTTTTGCCTGGCGGCCTCTTAAGAGTCAGAGGGTGCCCCGTTGCATGCCGGGAGTTGTGGCCTACCCTTTCGTCCCGAGAGGCCGGAAGGCGGGGATTTTAGGGACGTGCTGGCTTTAGGCCCCCGGCTTCTGCGGCTTCCTTCGACGCTTGCGGCCTCTCCCTCCCGGGTCGGCCTCCCTCTGGTTGTTTTCGGTCACTAGTCAGTCTCTCAGGGCCCGCGATGTCTCGCGGGCGGGAGCGGGTGGTGGCCTTGGTCGACATGGACTGTTTCTACGTGCAGGTGGAGCAGCGCCTGGACCCCAGCCTGCGGGGCAAGCCGTGCGCCGTGGTTCAGTACAAGACGTGGAAAGGCGGCGGGTGCGTGCCTTCTTCGACGGGGCAGAGAGAGAGAGAGAGGGTGTGTGTGTGTGTGTGTGTGTGTGTTTTTGCAGGTAGCAGACTGAGGTGGGGGCGCATACGCCCGTAGAGAGTTCTGCCCCCCTCTGGGATGGGACGAGTGACTGAAAAGCTCCCCGTCTCGTCCCCCCCCCACAACCGTGGGTCTTGATCCTTTGCTGAGATCCTTCTGCCCAAGAACTCGATCCTATTATGATAGAAACAACAAGCCCGCTTTTTCTGAGGCCGTTTCTCTAATTATAGGCCTTCCCTCATGCTTATTAGTTGTACCTTTTAAGGAGATAACAAGGTAGTGGCGTTGTTGTGGTGTGAAGCTAGCGGGATAGCTCCGTGAGGTGAGGGTCTGCTTAAAGGGAGCCAGCGATGGGGAGTTTGCCCATTGTGCCCCAGGGAGAAAAGCCAGCTTGGGGTGACCCCCCAAAAGAAGGGAGCCGTAAACCGTTTCTGTATACACTGTACCTAGAAAGCCATGAAACAGATTACCATAAGTCAGAATTAGTTTGGTGGCATGTAATCATTTGTTATTGTCAGGGCTTTGTTATTGTCATGTAAACATACTGTGGAGAAATCCAGTCACTTATGTGCATGCAGTTTATGTCCCACCATGTGTACAAAAGATCTAGCGAATGGCCAAGATAACACTATTGAAATAGCTTGCTTCTGGTAAAAAAATTAGTCTAATATCTTAACATTTTAATTTGTTTTAATTTTACCTATATTTCATATGCCTCTATAGCACTGAATTGTGTAATGCTTGTTGCGGTTCATAAAATTAAGGCCAAAATTTTGTGACGTAAATGAAGTGAATTGCTTGGAAAATATTTTTATGTGCTATTTGTTCTAGTACATGGCAGCCTACATCGTATCTAGTATTTATGTCCATACAGAGTTCCAACTGCAGAAGCTGCCATGGCAATCCGATATACTGCCAGTAGTGTATGACCATCCACACCAATGACACCTTGTAAGGCTACTAAAGCAACTTCTGTGGTTGGCGTTCTATATGCATAAATATTAAACAGGATACCATCTGCTACGTTATAAAATTTGGTTCTTAATTTAAAATTGGAAAAACCTGTCTAGAAGGTTGTGTGTCTTTGTTATTTTTACTCTTCACATAGCATCTGATATTTTCTTACATATCCAATTCAGGATAATTGCTGTGAGCTATGAAGCCCGTGCTTTTGGAGTTACCAGGAATATGTGGGCTACTGATGCCAAGAAACTATGTCCTGATCTACTGTTAGCTCGAGTGCCAGAGGCCCATGGCAAAGCAGACCTCACCAAGTAAGCCTTTGATTTACAATCACTTGCAGCTTCTCTTAGATAGTATTTATTGTTGTGTCTTGTCTTAGCTCATGGTGAAACTCTGGAATAAAAAAGATTTAGGAAGGAAGCTAAATCAATGCTGCTCTATCATAAAGCCATTTCTGTCTGGCTTCCAGATGGGTTATGGGATGAAGACAACTTCACCTTGGTGAATGACTATGCTGGGAACAGTACAGGGGGAATGTATCCCTGTTATTTCTGCTGAATATCTCAGTGACCTTCAGTTCCATCAAGCATGTATCCTTCTGGTATGGGACTTAGAGGCACTGTTTTACAGTGGCTTTGGTCCTCTCGGGGAGGGGGGTGATCTGAAAAGGTGGCACTGGGGGAGTCACAGCACTGCAGGAATCCCTGCCTCACCTCATCTGAGTGGGCAGCTGCTAAAGGAGGCAGATGGGACTTAGAGGCACTGTTTTACAGTGCCTTTGTTTCTCTCATGGAGGGGGGTGATCTGAAAAGGTGGCGCTGGGGGAGTCACAGACAGCACTGCAGGAATCCCTGCCTCACCTTCTCATCTGAGTGGGCAGCTGCTGAAGGAGGCAGAGAAGGGCAGCCCTTGCTCCTGCCAGAATGGAAGATTGTGCAATGGGGAGGAAAGCAGCAGTGTGCACCAGCAGGCCAGTGGGGGAGATGGGTGGAGGGAAGTGAACCCGTGACACCTGTGGTGCACCATCAACAACTTCAATGATTTGGCATGAAGTGTTTTGTGCTCATCTCTAGTTCTGAGTTTTGGAATGCACTGCTGTCAGTATTCTGAGGATCGTTTGTTCAGTGGGGGAGCTGGCTGGAGGGGTGGGGGAAAGTGAACCTGTGACACCTGTGGTGCACCATCAACAACTTCAATGATTTGGCATGAAGTGTTTTGTGCTCATCTCTAGTTCTGAGTTTTGGAATGCACTGCTGTCAGTATTCTGAGGATCGTTTGTTCATTCGTTCAGTCGTGTCCGACTCTTTGTGACCCCATGGACCAGAGCACGCCAGGCCCTCCTATCTTCCACTGCTTCCCGGAGTTCTATCAATTTCATGTTGGTTGCTTCGCAGACATGTCCAGCCATCTCATCCTCATTCTGAGGATACCCAACTATTAGCTCTCCTTTCCATCAGACTACAAGAAAGCTGCCTCAGTTCTAAACTGGAGTTAGTAATGGGCTGGATGAAGCCAAACCAGTTGAAGCTTAGTCTTGACAAGACAGAGGTGCTCCTAGTTGATCAGAAGGCTGATAAGAGAATAGAGACCCAAACTTTGCTGGATGGGGTTATACTTCCCTTGAAAACTCAGATTTGGAGTTTGGTTGTACTGCTGGACTCATCCCTGAGCCTCGATTACCAAGTTTTGGTATTGACCAGAAGTGCATTTACACAGTTAAAGCTGGTGTACCAGCTGCGTCTGTTCCTTGAGATATCAAATTTGGCTGCAGTGACATGTGCTTTAGTTACATCCCACTTGGATTACTGTAATGCACTCTTTGTGGGACTGCCTTTGCAAATAGGTCAGAAACTTCAAGTGATTCAGAATGCTACTGCCAGACTGCTGACTGGGGCCAGTTGTAAGGGCCATTCCGGCTGTTAAATTAGCTAACCTGTTACAGCATTATTTTGTGCTCTTTCTGTGTAGGTACCGAGAAGCCAGTGTGGAGGTGATGGAAGTGATGTCTCGGTTTGCTGTAATTGAGCGTGCCAGCATTGATGAGGCCTACATGGACTTAACTAATGCTGTGCATGAGAGGCTTCAGAAGATGAAGGGACAGTCCATTGCAGCAGAGCAGCTAGTAACGACCTTTATCCAAGGATTCCCAAATAACCTTGATGGGAAAGAAAATACGGACCACAGAGGTACTGTGTAGCTTCAGACATGTTATTAGAGATGGGCACAAACTTCTGGTTTGGAAGTTTGTGTTGGGTTGTTTTTCATCCAAACAGGTGTTTGGCGCTTCCAGCCCTGCCTCCTCCAGCAGGCACCCACTCGGAGGCAGCGCCCCAACTTCCCTGCCCTGTCTGGAAGAGGTGAGACTGGGAAGTACCAAACATCTGTTGAGATGAAAAACGAGCTGTCATGAACCCTCAAACCGGCAGTTTGTGCCTCTTTCTAGATGCCACTCTACTACTTGTCCTTGCTTGCAGGCACCCACTCGGAGGCAGCGCCCCAAATTCCCTGCCCTTCTCTGGAGGAGGTGAGACTGGGAAGTGCCAAACATCTGTTGAGATGAAAAACGAACTGTCATGAACCCTCAAACCAGCAGTTTGTGCCTCTTTCTAAATGCCGCTCTACTACTTGTCCTTGCTCTACCTTTGAACTCTCTGAAGAGTGTTGGATGCATTTAGTCTATAAAGTGTCTGTGCTTATAGAACAGCACTGCCAAGATTGGAAGAAATTCACAAATCCCAGGTGTACGAGATATTTTTCATTCTGTCATTGGGGAAATAGTAAGAAATCACAGTTGTTGCCTTAGAAGGGAGCACTTTGCTGTCAGTTGAATCATAGCTTATAACAGGCATCTCAGATAGACTGATTAATATTGAAACAGAAATTCTATTTTTAACATCTGAATTAATTTGGTCTCACAAGTAGAACTTGTGAAACCAGATGAATTGGACCTCAACCCAGTAGCTGTCAAGAAAGAGAAAGCTGCTTTCCAACCTGAAGATAAGAGAGTAGAAACAGAAAGATAGTTACAAGGTACAGAAAGTTGCTATTTTCTTGGAGAGCTTGGGTAAATTTGTTGTTGTTCAATTGGAGAGCTTGGGTAAATTTGTTGTTGTTTAATACTGTCAAGTCACCTCTGACTTACGGCAATGCTATGAATCGGCTACTGTCAAGTCGCCTCTGACTTATGGCAATGCTATGAATCGGTGAGATTGTTCTCAAGCGGCTCAGCTCAACTCTTGTAAACTCAAGGCTGTGGTTTCCTTTGGGAAATCAATCCAACTTGTATTTGGTCATCTAATTTTCCTGCTGCCTCAACCCTTTCCGGTATTATTGTATATTCCAGTGAATTTTGCCTCCTTGTAATGTGCCCAGAGTATGACAGCCTCAGTTTCAGCATTTTTGCCTCCAAAGATAATTCAGACTTGATTTGTTCTAGGATCAACTTGTTTGTCTTTCTAGCAGTCTAAGGTATTTGCAAAGCTATCGCCCAGCACAGTATTTTTAAACAAATAATTAGCAGTCTAAGGTATTTGCAAAGCTATCGTCCAGCACAATATTTTTAAACAAATAATTTTTCCTGTTTTCTTTACTGTTCCGCTTTCACATCCATACATAGTGATTGGGAATACAAGAGTGTGGATGGTCTTTGTCTCCAATGACAAAATCTTTACACTTGATTATTTTTTCTAATTCCTTCATTGCTGCCCTTCTGAGTCTCAAGTCTTCTTCTGATTTCTAGGCTGTAGTCTCCATTTGGATTGATAATTGAACCAAGATATACAAAATCCTTCACTATTTCTATTTTTTCATTGTCAACATTAAAGTTGTGTGGTACTCCTGTAGTAATGATTTAATATTAAACTGCAATCCTGCTTTGGTATGTTCTTTCACTTTAACTAAATTACTGCTTTCTTCCATTAAGATGATGTCATTTGCGTATCTTAAATTACTGATGTGTCTTCCAATTTTCACTACTCCTCCAACTGAATTTAGTCCAGCTTTCCAAGTGGTATGTTCTGCATACACATTGAACAGATAAGGAGATTAAATGCACCTTTGTTTGCCATTTTAGCCTATAGGAAACCACTCTGTTTCTCCATATTCTGTCCTGACAGAACATGTCAGCTTACAAGTTACACATCAGGTCAATCAAGTACATTAGTTTCTTTCAGAACAACCCATGGTTTCTCATGAGCCACACAATCAAAGGCTTTGCTATAGTCTATGAGGCACAGACTGATGATCTTCTGAAATTATTTGGTGCTCTCAGTAGCCAGTGAGTATTTGCAATATCTTGAGTGCCTCTTATATATATCTCTTAAAGGAATGGTCCTATAGTTACTGCTCTCCTTGGCATCTCCTTTCTTGAGGGTTGGAATGTATATTGAATGTTTCCAGACAGCATTGCTCTCAGCTTCATGGACACATTCACCCTTCACCACCTTAACCTGTGCATCCAAAAAAAGGTATTCCTCCTCTCCACCTTCCTTCCCTTTTCTTCTTCTCCTTCATTTCGATATCTTTCCTTTCTTCTTTAGTTCCCTTAAATTGTGGCCTCACACTAAAAAATCCCAAACTATTTCCCCTCACCTCAGTAGGATAGTTGCCTGTGCTGCAGATTCCCTGACATTCTGTGTGTACATCCTGAGATGCTGTATTCAGAACTGAGAAACAAGCAGTCTTCTGGGTTCTTTTTCCTTCTCTTCTTTTTTTTCCTTCTCTTTTCTCTCCTCTCTTTTAGCAGGTACCTATAACATATACATCTCTTTTGACTCACTGCTGTGCCACGACTCTTCTTAGAGGGATGATTAAATGCTTACTCTTGAATTGGTTTGTGGTTCTTCTTAGACGAGTGGCGGCAGCACGGTTTGCACCAGTGGCTCGAGTTGTTGCCGTTTGAAGATCCCAGCAATCCAGATGTGCAGCTGACAGTGGGAGCTGTGATTGTGGAAGAAATGAGAGCAGCTGTGGAATCTGTCACAGGATTTAGGTGTTCCGCTGGGATTTCTCACAACAAGGTATTTGTAAGATGTGTTTATTTTGAACTCAGCACTGCTCAGGGTATCATTCTTGTTCACTCTATATTTGATAGATATGTAGGAAAAATGAATTCTGTGACATGTCACAAGAGATATAAAAGAATAAACAAGTTTGGGTGTTATTAACAATTGTGATCTAAACACAGTTTGGGGAAAGGGGATTGTATATCCCAGAAATTAAGAATAAGCACAATTATTTTGATATTTTCAGTTGCATTATGTAACAAGATATCTTGGTATAGAGAGAATGAAAAAGGAAGAGGAATTTGTGTCTGATAAGACAATGATAAGACAACATAGTTTTTGATTAAGAATCTTAATAGAACATGACTCTTCTTTGATGAACTAACCAAAACCTGAAAGAGAGCGTTCTTTCATCCTTGTGACATTGCAAGACAAATGTTTGGCTTCATATACATTTTGAATAGTGCCTTTCTAGGTATTCTCGGTATCATAAATGTCTTTAATGTTTGAAAGTTTGGAATCATGGCCAGATACTTTTCATTGCTTGCCCTTTATTCTTGCTTTTCTATAGGTTTTCATAGTTTATAAACCCAACTTTCTAATACTGCACATGTGTTGGAAAGCCAAGATTTGCAAATTGACCACTGTTTTAATTCTAGGTATTAGCAAAATTGGCCTGCGGCCTCAACAAACCTAATCGACAGACTTTGGTGTCGCAGGATTCTGTCCCCCAGCTCTTTAGCAAGATGCCAATTGGAAACATGTATGTAAAACAGAACTGCTTCATAAAACCCATGCACTACATTTATGAATTTCAGAATTATGTTTCTCTTTAGCATCTTACTTCTTGGGTGTTATGTGTGTACTTGAGTATATTCTTTGCTTGCTGTCAGCATACAGCAACAGTAACCAAAGGGGATTTAAAAGGTCTCTAGTGGGATATGTAGAAGTTGAGAATAGATCTAAACAAATTCAGATTTGGGGGAATCAGAATTAAACTTTTAGCTGTTCTTACTATGTGCTTATGTGAACAAAATGACTATTTTTACACTGCTAACTTCAGAATTTTAGGCACTGGATTGAAATTTTCAGGTCTGATTACAAACACAACTTAGTTCTTAATTAATTAATAACTTAATAAGCAGTGTTGCAATACTGATTCCACATTTTATGTAGAACAATCCAGTGAAATTCTTCTGCACGTACTAATGTAGGGAAAAAATGAGGTTTTTCCATAAATTGTACATTCTGTCAGTGTGTTTTACTACTTCATTTGTAAAACCAAATTCTGCATCCTTCTGTGTACATCGTGCTGGCAGGCACATAAGATTAGTGCCTGAATGCTTCTGCATTTTTCAATTAATTGTTTCTTTATCTCCCTTAGTCGCAACCTAGGAGGTAAGTTAGGTGCCTCTGTCACTGAACTTTTGGGCGTGGAGTATGTTGGACAGCTGATCCAGTTCACTGAGTTGCAGCTTCAGACACACTTTGGAGATAAGACTGGGTATGTGCCATATAAGAATTCTCATCAGTTTATATGTTTTTGCTCCTTTGGTGCTCACTCGTGCTGCTAATGATCCTGTTTGCATCTGTTCTGAAAGTCCCATTTCTTATGAGAACATGAGACATAGCAATTAAAGGTCAATGTCTCCCTTTAAGATGGAAAGGCTTGGGAAGAAAAAGAAAATATCAGGACAAAAAAATTATTTTTCCAAAAGAAACATTGGGAATTCAAGGGAGCACTAGAGGCCTATGAAATATATTGTGTTTTTGGAATTAGTAGAATGCTTTTTAAAACAAGGTTTTACTTGGTTGAAGTGTGAATTATGAAGGTTTTTATGTAAGAGAATCTAAGCATAAGAGAATAACATACACTATTGAAGGGTTCCAATGTTGTTGTAAAGTTTTACTTGTGTTGATAACCTTATAATCCTTAATTGTGTGGCTGTGTTAAACTATTTTGTCTAATAGTACCCCTTTTTGTTACTGTTTTTGGTGTTTCTTTTTTTCTACTTCCCAAATGGCAAAAGTAAGATGCATGTGTTCAAGTAGCATATGAAGTTGCCAGCTCTCTCTTTAGTTCTGGGTGTATCTGTACCAACCTAAAATGTTTGCATATTTTTCCTGGGAATAACCTTCATTAAACAGAGTGAATGTCAGTTCTGAGTAAATATGCATTGTATCCGGCAAAAAGGATTGCTTCATAAAAGTCACCTTGGATGATTTGTTAATTTCATAAATATCTAAATAGTGTATGTTCATATGACAGACAAATTGTAAATAATGGACTATCTATCATGAATCAAGCAGAACCTCTGCATGGGTTAAGTAGATATTGTAGAATTAATTTTTCCTGAAGGCATTTTATTTTCTTTTTAAATTGTGGATTAACTCATGGCTCTTTGCTAACTGCTACTTGATGTCATTTTACACAAATAATAATGCTTCCCATTCAAATGTGCCATTATTAAGAATCTATATTTGTTTGTTTGTTTGTTTATTTAATATCCCGCCTATCTGGTCACTCATGACCACTCTAGGCGGCTTATAACATGAATAAAATACTCATAAAATACGCAGATAAATATAAAATTATTCCTTAGTGAACAATAAACAAAATCCAACAAGACGGAAAACAAACAGTAGGAAAGGAGAGGGAAGTAGAACATCAGGAATTTACTGGAGGGAAGGCCTGCGGAAACATCCATGTTTTTAGTTGATTTTTAAAGATACCCAGCGAGGGAGCCGCACGAATCTCCGGAGGTATGTTGTTCCAGAGGCGAGGAGCCACTGCTGAGAAGGCCCAGTTTCTTGTTTTTTCCTTCCGGGCCGCCCTCAGCGTCAGGCTCCTCGGCCTCACCTCCTGACTCGATTGAGTGATACGGGTAGTTCTTGGTGGGAGTAGGCGTTGCGCCAAGTATCAAGGCCCTAAACCGTTTAGGGCTTTGTATGTAAGCATCAACACTTTGAAGTCGATGCGGAACTGAATGGGCAGCCAATGCAATGCGGCCAGAGTAGGTGAGATATGTTGGTATTTTTTCACTCCACTAAGTAGTCTGGCTGCTGCATTCTGCACCACCTGGAGTTTCCGCAACAGCCTCAAAGGCAGCCCCACGTAGAGCGCATTACAGTGGTCTAATCTTGAGATTACAAGCGCATGCACCAAGGCAGTGAGCACCCCAACATCGAGATAGGACCGTAGCTGGGTTTATCGAAGACTGTTCTCACTTTGCCCTGCATGTATGCATTTTAAAATCTGAATTCTTTGTATTCTCTATGTTCTAAAGTGATTCACATACCACTGTCTAATACTATAGATTTCTCCAAAATATATAGACCAGGAGTTTCTAGGATAGGCATACTGTTTACTTAATACAGGTCTCTATTTGCAATTTTTAGCTCCTGGTTGTACGACTTGTGCAGAGGGATTGAACATGAGCCTGTGAAACCTAGGCAATTGCCGAAGTCAATTGGCTGCAGTAAGAATTTTCCAGGAAAAACTGCCTTGGTTACTCAGAAACAGGTAGGACATTTCACAAAGAATACAGTGAAATCTGTTCTGAGGGCAAGAATAAGAGACAAGACTGAAAAGTGCTAGCATATTGCAATTTCCATTTTCTGCCATAAATCTGCTAAGATTCATTTGGTTTGAAATCCTCTCTAAGGATGTTTTTGAATAACTGATTTGGACAGTGTCATCTGCGGGAGTAACATACACCATCTTGTAATCGATAAAGATGTGGTGTCGAATAAGAGCTGTTATCTCTTTACTGTGTAGTGGTAAAATCTTCATTCTGTTCCCGCATCCAGTACTGTAACATGTTCTGCCATATAGGGGTTTTGTAATAATGGTTGAAATCCTGTTGCTGCAACTTATGCTGCTATAAGATGGATGATGGCATCAGCTGTGTAAGGTTTTTTTGGGAGGGGGAAATAAAACCTTTCTGATTTTCCCCGCCCCAAAGGTTGTGAGGGTAAGATGAGATCTCTCTTGTCATAGGAAAGGTGTTTGGGGGCAACAGAATGGGGATCTGTTTTTCAATTCCAAATACCATCTCCACACTATGGCTTTCCTACAACAAAAGGAATGCCATGGGAGCTTAAGGCAAGAGATTGAGAAATTTTTATTTCCAAAAAATCACGACCGTTGATAGTATCATAGCTCTGTAAACAGGATTTTAGCCAATATCTTGTGGCTTTCAATTTGAATTGGTTCACAACAACTTTTCTGAAGATTTAGGAATTTCAGTGTTATTTTAGATTTACTCATATTGGCCCTTCACTGATAAAAATGTCTTCTGAATGTTCATGACATGCTTTGGTTCCTATTATCAGAATATTGAACAAATTGCTATGAAAGTAGCAAACTTTATAACATTTCTGTTTGTAGGTACAACACTGGCTTCTGCAGTTGGCTTTGGAGTTGGAGGAGCGACTGAAGAAGGACAGAGACCAAGTAAGTGCAGGGGAAAGAAACATCCTCCTGCTCGGGAGGAGGTGCATGTGACTAAGAAGTGTTGGTGCTTCTTGTGTATCTGTTGTTGTTAGCTTATCCAAGAAACCAGTAGGTGTTGTTCATACTATTCTTTATACTTTGATGCTTGCATTGATATAGTTATTTAATTATAACTAGCAATTATTGTTTTACTTTGCTGTAAACTGCCCAGAGTGGCCTTTGAAGCCAGATGGGTGGTATTTAAATTAAATTAATAAACAATGGAAAATACTACTTATGCTTCGCTTTGGTGGCGTTCTCTTTGAGACACTGTCAAGGATTGCTTTCCTACTCTCTCAGATGTTCCAGAGCAGCTGGGTAGTCTTTGTAACAGAGCATGTTGCTTCTGTCAATTTCAGTTAGTTTTGTGTATCATAGCCATCATCTCCTGATGGTAGATAGATTGGTGTGTTCTAAATATAGTAATGCACTGTACATAAGGCTGTACTTAAGAAGTACTCAGAAGCTACAACTGGTCCAAAATGCTGCAAGCATGCTGTTTACTTTCAAATGCATGTAGGGAACCTATGAATCCTTCACTGAAATAGTTGCTTAAGTTTCAAATATGTTTCTAGGTGTTGGTAGTGACTTTTGAGCCCTTTATTGTTTGGCATAAAAAGTATCTGAATAGCTATCTCCTCCTGTCTAGCTGTTGATATGACCATCAGAGATCCTGCTCTATATTCCAGCATTTTAGTACAAAGGGATGGGCCTTGTCAGCGGCTGTTCCCAGACTTTGGAACACCCTCCAGGAGAGTAGCCTTCCTTTGAAATGACCTTCAGTAGTATGTCTGAGAACTTCCTTTCTAGGATGTCTTTTAAGCTCTAGATGGCTGCTCCCTTATGAAGTGGTTTTAATTGTGTCTATTTCAATTTGTTGTTGACCATCTTGACCTCATTGAGATATATAAATAATGTAAATAAATGTAGTACAAAGTTTAAAAAGTTGAGTTTGAACATAGGGAAGCAACTTTGCCTGCATCACTGTGCTTGCAAGGCAGTCCTAGGCAGACCATTATGAAGTAAACCTATCTTGCAGAATGAATAAAAACTTTCTTGATAGCATGTCTAAAAAAGGTGCACAACAGCGGAACGGTCCCATGGAAGCTTTCCTAAATTCTTTGAATGGATACTTATTTTTCCATGGAACCCAAAGGGGTATATATAAGGTTCCTAAGGTGTCTCCCATTCTAGGCCCTTACCTTGTTAGTTTAATTAGATGGCTGTACTGCATGTGTACAGATTAAAAATAAGAAACCTGTGATCCATCAGATGCTTAACCCATCATATCTGGAAATTAGCTATATCCATATCAGCGACAGCTATCATAGCTAATGTCCAGAGACAATGGTGACAGCCAGAGGACTACAGATTGACCATCCCTCCTTGAGACTGTAATCTGGGAGTAATTGGGACAGTATTTTTTTATGTTTAAAATGTGCACAGGGAGTCCTTTAGTGGCAATGGGATATTCTTGCAGTGTATCACTGCTTGCTTGCCTGCCTTTTGCTGAGGGTTGAGAGAGTTCCTTAAAGCCTCCCTACATTTGTTTTTCTGTAGACTAAATTATGTGAAAGAACTATAGGACTATGTTCTGCATTGTAACATTCTTGGATAATCCTGTCTGGTATTTACTGTTCCTTATAAAATGCATATTTATCATGCCTTGAGCATAAACTGTAAGGATTCCTGTGCTTACATGTATTTTCTTCCCACAGAACAACCGGATGGCTAAACAACTGACTGTTGGGATCCGCATGCAAGGTTCAAAATATTCCAGTGGCCTCTCCCGCTGCTGTGCCTTATCCCACTATGATGCTCATAAGATCAGTAGAGATGCCTTTGCAGTAATCCAGAACTGCAATACAGCAGGAGGCCAGCAGGCTGCATGGTGAAAATGTTTTCTTATTCCAGAAGGGGAAGGGTGTGGTGCTGCCAAGGAGAAAGTTTGTTTTTCATTTCTGCTGTTAGTCAGTAGAGTTTGTGCCAAGTAAAACAGAAGCAGAAAATGAAGAGCTGGAGAGCTGAATGGCCAAATTACTAAAGACAGTGATAGTTCTCACACAGGAACATTTTTGTCTTACTAGAATTAAGACCATAGTGTACTCTCCAAGATGCATTCAGAGCAGTAGGTGGTATAATTGTGCAAG